GGTATGACTTACAAAAAATGGAGAAAAAATACCGGAAAATCATGTCATAACAGCAACATAATTTATGTAAATCACTGGTATCGCATAAGAAATACACCCCCAATCAGTACGCCAGCGTTCAGGGGCTCATGTCTTCTCACCCCTATAACAAAAAACAGACACGCTTTCCCAATCTCGCACAATATGTCCACGATATTATGCGCGTATCGCTATTATAAAGACCTCCATTGATAAATACCGTATAGGTGGCATGCGCAATGTATATGAATTTAATTCCTGTGAACTATCCTTTTCTTTGAATGGAATTGTATACGTGATTTAATTCAGGTTTTTATTATTGTTATGTTCTTTTGGGTTAAAAATACAAACCATGTTTATTCCTTTACTGCTTTTTTTGGGGGGAGGGGGGCGTTTTGGGGTGCAAAAATGCGTTTTGCCCCCCCCCCCTTCCGGCGCCTATGGTACCTCGGACTAGAACGTTAACTGGAGGCACCGTGTTTAGGAGAAGCACACCCTATTTGCACGTTATTACACTTTACTTCTCGGAAAGAGTGGGGGTGTTAACTCGGTGTTTAGTGTGCCTGCATACACAATTGGTAATCTTTCTACATATATCTTCGTGATAGGCTGCACAGCCCTCTGAAGATTCACAATAGAAGCGAAGAAGAAGAAGGAGAAGAAGAAGAAGAAGAAGAAGAAGAAGGAAAAGTCGACGATAGGTAAAAAGGTGTTCATGTGATCGAGGGTAGAATGAGGAACTGTATTTCTAAAAGAATTCTAATTGTAGTCAACATGGGCATTTAAGTACGTTGACACACATGATCAGTCGGCGTTCGTCGTGTTCTCGTCCACTCAATCCAAAAGTCCCTAATGGTGAAACAAGTGCGACTTTCCATTCTTTAGGAAAGTGGCCCGTAGACAAGGAGACATTAGGGACTTTTAGATTGAGTGGACGAGAACACGACGAACGCCGACTGATCATGCGTGTCAACGTACTCAACTGCCCATGTTGACTACAATTAGAATTCTTTTAGATTGCACTCGACGATAAACATGCATGCAGGAAGTAACACTATGAATATGACAGACAAAGAAAGAGGACAAAATATACAGTTCCTCATTCTACCCTCAACAATAGGCCATTTTCGTAATGTAACCAAATTTAATGCATAAGTCTTTGTGAAGTGCCTCAATACAAATTATTTCATTCACCTGATAGGAATAATAGTATTTCAATAGTCAGAATGCAACTGCATATATTAAGTGTTGCTAGGTAGGTCAAGCCATAATGTTTGTCCAACCTGGCAACAACTAGTGTATGCAGTTAGGATTCTGTCTATTGAAATACTATTATGCTTATCAGGTGAATGAAATAGTTTGTATTGAGGCACTTCACAAAGACCTATGCATTAAATTTGGTTACATTACGAAAATGGCCTATTGTTGTGGTAGAACATCCCTTCACTGCTATTATGTAAACATTGTGTAGAACAGGTGAATATGCATGTGACACCTGTTCTACACATTTTTACATAATAGCAGGGAAGGGATGTTCCTTTGTCTACCTGAGGAACTGTATATATTATGCGCACGCGGCATATACTCGTACCGTACTAAATTTAGGAAAATCAAGGTTGACGCCTTCTCGATCGCCTACTGAGACGACGTGACGCATGCGCAGTGCCTTAAAATGACATCACACGTTGCAGTCAAAGCTGTCAACGTGCAAATCTAAAAGTCCCTATTGATCATGGATGTGAACACAGGTAGTATAACATCAATATATTGCAAGAGAATCTTTGTTGGAATCGGATCAGCAGAGCAAGACTTCTTGCTGAGCTTCATCACAAGTTTCCCTACTTCCCGTTCAGATAAAAGTTTAAACTTATCAAGCTTGATACCATCAGATACTGGAACAGGACTTGATGAATCAGTATCAATTATATCCATCAAACCTATGCTAGTTATTGAAATAATAAACTCGTTATGTTGTAGCTCCCTCTCAAGACTGGTATTAATTTAACATTAAAACAATGTTTCTTGGCTACAATCGACCGATTTGCTATTCCCTCTTGGAAATTATATATCAGAACTGCACATTCTGAGATTTTCACGGTCGCAGCTACCATGGAATGGCCTGATGCGCTATTTAAAATATTTGCAATTTACCGGGAGCACCGGCAGATTTTAGATTATTCAATTTCTCAAAAGCAGAAGTGTTTTAGGGACTAAATTTTCTAGTGCTTATAATACATCCACAGGGGCATCAAAATATATCAAAATTCTTAAGAATTACTATCCATCCAATTTTCAAAATTTCCCAAAACTTTGCATTACCTGAGCACCTAATTAAAAAAAAATTGAAGAAATCTCGTTAACCTTGTGCGTCACCGATTGGAATGATTGTGAGAAGATTACAATAAGGGAGTTTACAGATAGCGCATGGTACAAATGACCCCAAATATCCACATATCTTTTACACATGGAGAAGTTCCATTTTGAGCATCTTAGAATAATAACTGCCAAAGTCCTAGATGTGCTTCATGAATACCTTTTGTTTGCCCTCTTGAAAAAAATACTTCCACCTGCCTATCTTAGAATGTACCGTTGGTGCATAAATGAATAATGTTACATAACTTTCATGAGCGCATATCCAGTATTCATCTCTGGTACAAATGACCTTTATCTGCACATGCGCAGATTGTATCTGTAAACTCCATTATACAATGATGTATTACATAATCCAATCATGATGTCAATAGGACATACGATAGGGTTTTTAAATTGCCCATGAGTTAAAATGTCAAATAAACATTTAGTTGCAATGGTATTATTTCTCTTATTCTCTTTCCTATAATTAGCCCTTCTTCGCTATCTCTCTCACTTTCTTTCAGTCTACCTCCTTTAAAGTATCTCTCTCTCTATTCCTTTACCTTTCACTGTATGACGTTCTCCTGCCTATACTTTGTCCTCTCTATCGCTGTCGTTCATTCGTCTGCCAACGCGCGGTCCCTGACTCGGGGCCAATCGACGACGCGACCGCAGTAGGCCTTAGTATTCACGCGCGTGCAACATCCGCAAACTTCGGTCTGTTTCGCGAACGCTGGCGCGCGCTGACCAATCAAGTCCATTCGTTTACGTGCAGTTGTCCAAAATAGGTCGTAGATGGCGTTAACCAATATTTGCCATGATACAGTCCCTTTAAATGAGAGTATTTGATATAACATGAAAGATTAAGAAGATTATAGGAATCAGGATGGGGGAAATAGCTTATTAGACACAATTATGAGAAGAAGCCCGATAGTGATTGAGGTACACGTACTTTAAAAATAAAGAGTTAACGTCAGCCAAAAAGAAAAAAAATGTACCTCTCCCCTACATTTCCTATTATGATTATCATCATCATGGACAAAGAAGGGAAATTCCCAGGAAAAACCGAATAGTTATCAACTTCAATCTGGCCTTGCATTTGGATTAATTTGTATATAATTTAACTTTGAATTGGCAGCAATGTGTTTCCCCTGAACCTTCCTGTTATTGACAATGTAAAGGAAGTATTATGTTTCGAATCATTAGACAGGTGAAGTTCAAATAGCTGCCTTTCCTGCATGCCCTCTACTTGACTCCTTTCACTGGGGGGTGGACCTTCATAAATAGAGGGGGCGGGGTACGCAGACTGAACAAAAATTGCCTTTTCCCTATCTTTGCCGGAGTCCAGCATAATAATATGACAACGAACAGGTGCGTATTTTATAACAAATTTAAACACATTTCTCACCAGGGAATTATGTAGGCTGGTTATATGTCTTCTTGTATTTAGAATTGGAATATTATTGTTTGGAACATTAATAAAGTTAACTTAAAGTTAATCTTAACACCTAAGATCTTTATGGTATATACCGGATGAACGTTTTGAGAAAATGCACATTTTGTGATGAATATTGTCACAATTAAAGAAAAAGCTGTAGTTAACGAATGAGAGAGAGACACACACACATACCCACACATACAGACAGGCAGAGAGAGACAGAGAGAGGGGGTAGAGAGAGAGGGGAAAAAACGTAAAGGGCTGAAAAATAAACTCGAATTCATGTTATAATCTTTCCTGTGCTTCGGATTTATTAAAGGAATAATGTTTGGTATCATATTAGAAGGATATTAATCTTGCTTTGAGATTATCGGAGGAGAAATGTATTACCATAAATTAGTAATAGAATATAAAAGGATTTCTCGGTCAATGTTTTTGAATGATCGTTTTATGAATTTAAATGCTAAAAAACGAATTTAAACGACAAATAACAGCTGCGGAGACAGAATCGGCGAAATTGAATAAACATAAATTGAATTTATGTGCCCAACTTACGAAATTGACCGAGAAATCCTATATTAACGACAGGCCTATTCGCCTATATTCTTTTTTTTTTGTCGGTATCGCGTGGAGCTTTGCCACATGACTTCACACCAATGTAACCTTCCTCATTGTATTGCATTGTTTGCGGGTTTTGCTTGGCAAATGAGTGGACCTTTATGAACTTGTTGGTGTCTGCCTCATGAGCCATCTGTGCCCCCCCCCCTCTCTCTCTCTCTCTCTCTCTCTCTCTCATTTTCTCCCTCCCCCCCCCCTCTCTCTCTCTCTCTCTCTCTTTCTCTCTCATTCTCTACCCCTGTACTAGCTATTTGAGAATGGAAAGTATCCCACATCTATACTCTGCTGAATATATTGTGATGCAAAAAATATTAATTGCATTTATAGGGCGCTTTATACAGACGTTTCTAACCCCACTTAAATCAATTTCTCTCTCTCCCTTAGTACCTCCTTCTTTACCACCTCTCTCTATCTCTTTCTTTCTGCCACTCTCCTCATCTCCCATCTTCCACTTTATAATCATAATTTTTGGTACCTCTCTATTAATATTTACTTCATCAAAAATGTGTCAGTGGGCTTCAAAACAAGTTTACTGAAATCTCGTACGTTACGGTAAACAAATATCATACAACGATTCAATTCAATTCATTTTATTTCCAAAGAAGGCATGGTAAGTTGAATGTACAAAGAGTAAAAGAATTAAAGGATAAATCAAAAATGATTAACAACAAAAACAGGTCGTACTGACAAATGCGAATTTACGAGGCTACTCAATAGAGGGTCAATGTATAACTTGGTCTATGTGTCTTATTTTCTCGTTGCCATTCCCCTCTCGATCGATCTCTCTCCCTTTCATTCTTTTCTTGTCACTAGTCAATGGGAGGCCGGGGAGAGGAGGGGGAGGGGGTGGAGGGGGCGGCATGCATGCCCCCGTAACCCCTGTAGCTACGCCATTGTGAAAAATGTATCACGAATTATCAGGCTACACGCTATATAGCCTGTGTCATATTCAGAATTTATTCACTGCTGTTAATGAAGTTGAGTGTTAATGATTCCAGATTGGGTATAACTAACCTATAAGCTAGACCGGAGTATGTTTTAGACTTCAACATTATTTTTATTAAGAGCGTGGTTAACGAATATTGATAGAGATCTATAAAGTCAATTAGGAACTACATAAACACACACACACACGCGCGCACGCACATGCTCCGGCTGCCGCTTTGTTCTATTACATTTTCAATATAGGTTCGATTAAATGTTGATAGTATTGCGACTAGAAACTATAATGATCGTGCGTGTTCCAGTTTTCTTTGCATCATCAGGAGCAAATATTATTGTAGTTGCATATTTAAGACGAATAGTTTAAATGGTACACACAGCACATGTGAGCTCATAGCCGTTCACATATGGGCCACACTGTATCCCTCCTGCAGAGCACCGAGCTTCTACCATGTAGAAAAGGGCCCCATCCTGACTGCCAGTCGTTCCAGGAACTGCCTCGCCATCCTCGTCCATGCAGACGAAATCGGTCCTGGTCTTATGCGTGTAACAACTCGACATGAGATACCCCTTGTATTCCAGACGCCATTTTGAAGATGGGCATTCGTTACGACCGGGAAACAAGAGCTTCGTGGGGCGGTTTGGTGGGGCACGGCAGACAGCACATGATGGTGTTTGGTCGTGGAGGCTCTGCAGGTGTGGAGCCGTGCTTGTTTCGTATTCAGCAGAGTAAAGCAGGGATCTACTCCCGTGGGCACTTGTCTCAATGTCACTGTAGATGGGCTCGTGGGGGAGGCAAAGATAATTGACACCACCGCCGGTGTGAGCGTAGTGGGCACCCGTTGCCATACCTGTGTTTTAATTAAACAAATTGAATGCAAATTAGTAACCTAAAAAGACCAGATCGAGCCATTCTAGAATAGTCTGGAATACTAATCTTGTCAGTGTTACTTTTCTCTTTGAAAACATGAATTCTTGTGGACGTCTGCATGGCCACTTTACCGTTGGTCTCCGGAAACCCTCGGTCCATGAATCTTTTTTGGACTTGATAACCATCCTAAAGTAACGTTTGGCCCCATGACTCCTTCACTTTGGTCCCCCCGAGAGCCCCTCCATGCCTTTAAATGATGTGATGTATGTATGCAGACCTACCTGTATAGACCAGTTCGGATCCATTGACACAGTCGTCTCTTCCCCAGTGCGTATAGACCGCGCCACCTATAAGAAAATAATAACATGAAGATAAAAACGTTTACGCATTTAAATTTTAAAAAGAGAAATAATTCAATCTGTTTGCGAACCCCCATGTGCCATCGCTATCTTGATATGATATGTGCTATAAGATAATGCCATATTATTGAACCTATTATTATAAGAAGTAGTAGTATAAGTCGAAGAGCAAGTAGAAGTAGTAGTAGTAATAGTAGTATTAGTAATAGTAGTAGTAGTAGTAGTAGTAGTAGTAGTAGTAGTAGTAGTAGTAATATTGGTAGTAGTAGTAGTAGTAGTAGTAGTAGTAGTCCAAGTGTTGTCATGTAGATACAAGAAAAAAAGTAAGAAAAGAAGGCCTTACTTGGATTTAAATAGGATTTAGGGGCATTATTCGGGTATACCATGCCAGAAACGTCAGACGAGATGCCGGAGGGCCTTTGTCTCTTCTTGTTCTTGCATGTCCGACTTTTATCATTAGCCTATTAGGTGAAGTTATAGATAATTGATAATAGGGACTTTTATATTCGCACGAAGACAGTGGGGATTGCTACGATCGACGTCCTTTTAATGCACTGCCTTGAATGGACGTCACACGTATCAGTCCACACAAATCCCTAATATTCAGAACATAGCATGGGGAACATTTTGGCAGAATTTGAAACAAATTTTTAAAACCTATTCGTTTGACCTTTCTTCTGTCATAGCTAGGTCGCTCGGAGTTTTTAGGGGAAGGGAATGAAGAATGGTTATTGGTAAACTATACCCTGACTAAATTTTGTATCCAGTTTAGAACTGCCTTTGTTAGGACCGACAAGGAATGCCGATAAGGCACTGCGGCCCAACCATTAAAGGGACTTGGTAACATTGTTCAGATGGGAGATAGTGGTGCTAAGGAAGTGACTTCAATGCTAGATGTACAATTAAAGATAATCTGAAAATTTGAGTGGAAACGGACCATTATTCATGGTACAAATTGGGAAAACTGATCTGTTCGATTATAATTCTCCCAACTATATTATCACAATTTAATTACATTTTAGGTGAATGGAAATCTCACAAAGCAATAAAATGGCTCTACATTCCATTCCAGACATTTAAGTGTTGACAGATTTGTTATAGCCTGCTTTATGTCTTTTTTTTCATGGAAAAACGGTTGGGAAAATGTTAAAATGGTTGGGAGAATTTACTGTTAATCACTGTTTGAGGGTGTCGTATATCGACGCCTTCAAAGAAAACCATAGATATCTTCGTGGTTTGAGAATATTTTCAGGATTTTTTGCATGTCAGAGGGTTAGTACAGTAGAAGGAATATAGTAAGTGACATTTTATACAAAAATTAAGCAATTTCTTTCATCAACCTTCGATAATGTTACCCAGTCACTTTAAAGATACAATCTACCTGTATCCTTCGAAGAAAGAACGAAAGAAAGAAACTAAGGAAAGAAAGAAAACATCCGTCATTTACCAGATGGTGGGTTCGTATGATATGTGAGGAGATAACTGTTCAGGTCTTCGGACGAAGCTGCAGAACTGTTGGTCAAGGAGAGGGCGCTACGTCTGTTTTGGAGCAAATATTTCGCAACAAAATCACGTACGTCTTGAGCATGCTGTTGTCTCCCAGTTTCGGATCCATCCTCGGGCTTAATGATGCGGTTCTGTGAAAGATTGAAGTACGACAAAATTTACGAAGTTGATGCAAATATTTCAAATGCTTTTATATATTATTCAAGATCAGGGATCAATGAAGGGACTAATTAAAGAAAAGGTCGCTTTAAATTAGATTGGAAAAAACAGCACAATGGATATATGAACATATACGTTAACAGATTGAGTTTAAATGAATGAGGATGAAAGGTATACATAACGTTTATCTGGTGTTTATCGAAAATTTGTTATTAAGCGGCTGTTGCTTCAATTATTATTTGTAAGAAGAAAAAGAAGAAGAGAGAAACACAATATAATCAAGTGAGTCAAACATTTTTAACCTTGATTGTTTCTTTGTTATTTTGACTTTATCCAAAAAGCAGTCTGAGGAGAGCTAATTATTAAAAAAAAATGTAAGGAACTAATATTTCCCAATAAGCTGCATGAAGGCGTCTGGAACAATTATCAAAAGAATTAAAATAAATCGGACTGACGAAATATTTACCTGAAGCAATGCGATAATTTCCTTCAAATCAGCCAACTCCTTGCGAAAATCTGTCACCAAATCCTCTAAATTCGGCTCTCCAGTCTCATCTAAAACAAATTTAGAATTCATAATGACATAAATATTTATCTAAACCTGGGGTTTATAAAGTCCATGTATGCATCTACTACAGAACAGATTACTTCGATAAAATACTGAGAGATAAATAGCTACATTGATTACAGGAAGAGAGAATCTTTCTTCAAACTTGCAGTCAGGACAAAAACGAAATTGTTGATTATTTTGCTATCATACAGACACATTGCGACGTCACACAGGTTACAGATGACAAGATAAAGTTTGAACGAGAAAAAGAGAGAAATAGAGAGAAGTAATAAAAGAGATTGGGAGAGAGGGAGCGCGCAAAGAGCGAGGAAGAGAGAAAGAGAGATAATGAGAAAGAGAGATAGTGAGGGAGAGCGCGGAGAGCGAGGAAGTGAGAAAGAGAAGAAAAGGGAGATAATGAGAGAGAGGGGAGGGAGAGAGAAAGAAAGGAAGAGAGAGAGAGAGAGAGAAAAGAAGAAGAAGAAGGGGGGCACACACATACATTTTACGACAAATTAAAACGAGACAAGGTTATAGATAGCAACATTATTATAATCACTAAAGCAAATGAGATAACAAATTACTAACGCATGAATAATTACCTGGAGAAATTGTTACAGATGCTAGGGTAGATGGTGATACAACAGAGAACAGAAGCGGAGAAAATAAGCAGAAAAGCAAGTGAAATGCTGCCATGATGTCTATAAATGAACCGTAGACCGTCGACCGTCAGAAAATAACCAGCTTCTGGTCTGCTGTTGAGTTGAGCGATATCAAGTTTGTGAAGATCGTCGTATCACTGCGTTTCACTTTTCTGCGAAATATTCACATCAAAATGGACTGACTCGATCCCATGGTGGTGCGATTTATATCAATATGATTTCTAACCCATCCACCCCCCCCCCCTCCCCCCCCCCCCCCCCCCCCCCCCCCCCCCCCCCCCACTTACCACCACCACCACCACCACATCCGAAACAAGGGTGGAGGTGCTGATTCGACTGCATGACGTCAGCAGCGATGGGATCCAATAAAATTACAGCATAGTTGAACATGCACAGTGCCATTGGCATGGTTAACTCCATGGTTAACTCTAGAGAAGTGTAGCAGTTATGTGATCGACGGTGGCGTGACTACCCGGGGAAAATGCTCCAACCCTCCCCTTCAAAAAGAAAGAAAAGAAGGATAGAGACAGATGGAATAAAAATGGACCACTAATAAAGCCCCCTTCTTACTGTCTCACCCTCTCTCTCTCTTTCTCTCTCTCTCTCTCTCTATTACCCTCCGCCACTCTCCTCTATCTCTCGCTTTCTCTGACTCCCCTTTCTCTCTCTCTATTTCTCCCCCTTTCTCTTTCTTACTCTTTGGCGTACGACTCCTTTCGTGTGTTTTTTTTTATATTTATCTCTAATAAGTGTTTTCCCCGCTTCTTCATGGAACAATACCGAGTAACTTTTGGTGTTTAGACTAAAAAAATAAGTACACATATAGTATAGTTTCTGACACGAGTTTATTTAGAATCATATTCAATGAAAAGTCATAAATTCGCTTTTGCAATGTAAAAAGAAAAATCAACATAGGGCATGGGTTATGAATACAATTTAGGGTGGGGGAGGGGGCCTCAAGGGGAAAATTTCTTCAATTCCCCCCCCCCCCCTTTATTTTCTTGATCATAGCTGGCTTAAACCTGTAGTGCACTTAAATCTATAAGATTTCACGCCATTTTGAGGTCATAACCATAACATTTTTTTTGCTTGTCAGAGAAATCTGAAAAAGGCCCCAAAAATGTAATGACACTTTTGTGACCCTCTGTTACGAAATACTGGAAATGTCCCTACTCAAAGCTCCCCCCCCCCCCCTCCCCACCCCCCGTTGTCCGCCAAGTTATTCTTCGAGAATAGAAGCGCTTGGTTCATTCCAATCCACATTATTTTTGTCTTTATATGCCACACTCAATTTCTCACTGTGTACCATGGAATAAATATACCAAAGCTTCGAGACTATTTGCTTGTTTTCGGTGGAAAATTAATTTACACCGGTGTTAAAAGGGTTATCCAGGAGCTAGTCGACCCCAGACATGAGTAATTTTGCAAAGCAAATGTATTGAACATAGCAATCCCTCCATCAATGGGTGCCTATTGTTTTATGCAAAATTGCACATGTGGCCAACGAACGACCGTGCAGAATGACGAAGAAAGCAGCCAAGGTGTTAAGATCGCTGCATCCTTCCTGCGCCCGTGTAGAATGACGAAGAAAGCAGCCAAGGTGCTAAGATCGCTGCACCCTTCCTGCACCCCGGCCCCCTCTATGATTGGCCCCACGCTACGCCCTTATTCTTATCAAACAGCAACCAACGTGCACTTTTAGGGCCCTGTTAAATTCTATGACAAATATGCCCTCAGCCAATCAAATGCCATGATTTCAGTAGCTTATAACAGTTATTGTAAATTGTCACTAATACAATGTAACCAGTATTCATGAAACAGAGCCCAATAGAGGAAACATAATGAAGCACAAACCTTCCTCTGTCCTTCCGTATAATTATTATGATACTTGATCCGGAATAAAATAGGAAAAAAAACCTAAAAATCGAACAAGTTTAAAGACAAAGTTGAGTTCTGGTCATGCGATTGCATTGTAAAACAAACTGTGTGGAATCGATCAGAAAAGTTGATCATCTAGCATATAAGTATTGGTGTGTACTGCAAGGTTCAGGAATTTTCAAATTGATACGAAATTTGGCACAGTCTTGGTAAAGTTACAAGCACTGTACACAGAAAGATGTATATGGGACTACACAATAAATGCCATATTTAGAATATTAAGGCATTTTAAGAGCCATACTTTTCAGGGATTTTTTTTAAATCTGATGTTCTTCCACACTTGCATAATAACAATTATAACGGTCACAAATTATTTTCACGTCTTCCCAGAACCCAGCCTTCTCTTTAAAGGTACAATGTCTTATTGCAGGCCAAACAAATGAAAAGATTAAATTCCAACGGCATTTGAAAGACGATACTAATTTAGAACCTCCCTCAACACGAAAGGGCTTGAAAATGGTTTTAGTTGGAGAATAACGACCGTAAGTTGTCAAATCGACTGAAGTGATTGCAATCACCTAAGTAATAGTCTGATTTTCATACCCCTTTATCGAATGGTCGTACGTTTTGTGCTGTACCGTAAACGATTCAATCCGTTAAATTTTGGCCATTACAAGTAGAGGGTTATTGATGTAAACAAATGCTCATGTACCTGTTACAGCTCATTTTATGTATGTTATTACCAAAGAAAAGAAAAACCGCAGTCACTCACTCAATAGTGTCTAACAGTGAAATCTAAAAGGTAAACGGGTTTCCTTGCATAATTTAAATACTAGGACACTGCTGATGCTTACATTTCACAGGTACGACATACATGACATATTCATAATTCCTGCAAAGTGCTACAGAATTTGATGTTGGCTGCAAAAGGGACATATATACAATACAGACTGTCTTAAAGGTAATACAAAGTTTTGGTATGGTGTCATGAATTTGGTTAAAATGAACATTTTGGAAGCATATTCGATCCTACAAAATTCAGTGATCGTTGTCGCGGTTGAAATCGAGTCTAAAGTTATGAAATTGTGAATAATAAACTCTTTATGTTGTATAGCTCCCTCTCAAGGTCAAGATATTAATTAAGCCACAAAACAATGTTTCTTGACTAAAATTGACCGATTAGCTATTTCCCTTTGGAAATTATATATCACAACTACATATTTTGAGATTTTCATGGTCGCAGCTACCACTGTACGGCCGTAGGCGCTATTTGAAATTTATCAAAATTTCCCGGGAGCACCGGTAAATTTTTGTATTCAATTTTTCGGGACTAAATTTTCTAGTGCTTATAATAGATCCTTAGAGGTATCTAAATATATCAAAATTGTAAAGAATCACCATCCACCCAATTTTCAAAATTTCCCAAAACTTTGTATTACCTTTAAATGTCGGTGGCGTTTGTATACAGACATTGCCTTTTTGTTGGGGGGGGGGCGGGGTAGTTCCGAAACGAAAAATTACTTTTCCGGGGCCTGATTTCAGTGGGAAAGGTTGGAGGAATAAGAAGATTTTTCTTTATTTTATTTTTTGTTAAAACAATTTCAATTCAATTCAATTTTGTATTGATTATAATCCCACCAAATAGGACCATTCTCATTTTCTTTATAACAATGGATAACGAATTTCACATTTGGTGTAACATAGATAATTTAGTGCAAAAGTCAAAATTACAAAAATTACAATAACAAGGAATGGATTCTTTTGGAATATAATAAAGAGTTCAAAATCAATCAAATCACTCTTATTACTTTTTACAATTTGTTTAAAGAATAAAAGACAACATGATAGTAAAACAATTATGTATGTGTTCAAATTCAGATTCGAATTCAATATGTTGCTGTAGCATGTAGCGTCGAAATTCTGTTAACGAATCATAACTATCAAAGATATATCGTATATGAATATAGTTAGTCAAAATGAGTACAAATGTGAAATTACATTCACTAGAAAACAGAAATGACCCTCAAAATTACATACAACCATTGGCCTCTTCAGGAATATAATACACGCAATGTTGCACACAAAACTGAAAGTATTTTTTTTCCGTTCTGAAATTGAAGTCAGAAGGGCGGTATTCCGCATGTCGCTAACTTGTATGGCAGGTGGTACATGCTAAAGCGTGCTTCTGAAGGTCTCAACAGTTGGGGCTCTTTACCACACCCCCCCCCCCCCCCCCCCAAGAGATGACCCCGACAATACGACCCAATCCCGACAGATACTGTTCATATTATCTTGAAGATTCATTTATCAATAAATTTCGATCGCTAAAACCCCGGGAATCATTGCCAAGAAATGTATGTCGATCCTTATTTTGATATGTAGAGTAATACTGCAATGGGGGAAGGGGGTGGGGGGGGGGGGGATTTGCCCCTTTGCCCCTTCATATACACAGGACAGTGAATACCTTAGATTGGCTGTCACAAATCAAAGATTATAATAAGAACGTCGGGGTACGCTTCCTATGGTTTCTTGTTATTCAATTAGGAGGAGGAAGGACATATTTTTTGTTTTAAATGACATTTTATTTCCTTTCTCATAATTTCACATAACAAGAAATTATCAAAATAAGCAATATAAAACAAGATCTTTGGTACAAGACACTTCATGAGTTACATCAATCAATGATTCTACACTGTTGGTCATAATAGTGGAATAATTATTTTTACCCCAATTTATGGACTGATTTTGACAATGACGGAAGTTCATCCGTTCTAAAAGTTTTTTGCAGCTCATAACTTTTTGCGCGGATGAAATCACAGTGGACTGATGCTCGATGGATAGAGCGTATGAAACACGTATGCAGTGAGTACACAACGGATGCATAGCGTTTTCCAACGGATGGCAAGATTTGTTTACGTTTTACATCCTCTTTGCATCCGTAAGTGCAGTGCACTGCACTTACATGAATACGGTCTATTATATCGCTGGGCCAACGCTCTTATTCACAATAACAATCACCAAGGGTGTCGATTTGTATCCCTGGTTGGGGGGGGGATGATGGGTGCCAAAATATTTTCGGCAATGGATCAAAGCAACCAAGAGGTAGAGGCGTGTGGCAGGTTGCACCCCCTCCCTTCCAAGTTTTTAACTTTTTCAAGTCATCCTCAATAAAGATAACATTTGAGAGAATATGGGACCTATGTGGTTCCACATGCTTTGCTACCTGGGTTATTATCCTCTCAAACTAGGCAGGATTTTATTTTAGGGGCGGTAGTGAGCACCTCCTAGGGGTGAGTGCAGGGAGGGGAGTCCCCCCCCCCCCCCCCCCCCCCCCCTCCCGCGCGAAGCGCGGAAGCTCTGACGTTTCCTTAAATTATTAGTAAAAGAAGACAATTCGTTGTACAATTCTCGACTCTTAATCCTTGTCTGAATTCAGTTCCCCCCTCCCGCGCGAGGCGCGGAAGCTTTGACGTTTCATTAAATTATTAGAGAAAAAAGACGATTCGTTGTATCATTCTCGACTCTTAATCCTTGTCTGAATTCAGTTCCCCCTCCCGCGCGAGGCGCGGAAGCTTTGACGTTTCATTAAATTATTAGAGAAAGAAGACGATTCGTTGTATCGTTCTCGACTCTAAATCCTTTTTCTTCCTGCGTCCTCTTCCTTTCTTCTTTCTCTCTCTTTTTTGGGGGGAGGGGGGAGGGGTCGGCTTTTTTTTGTTGGGGGGGCGACCACCCCCACCACCCCTGGCTACGCGCCTGTATCCTCTCTGTCTCTCATTATCTTTCTCTCCCACTCTCTTCTTCTTTTTTGCTTTTTTGCGCTTAACATTTACTAAGCTCGTTGCTTTTTAACGCTGTGGCTTTGCATTTGGCGCACTGCATTTATATGATGCTGTTAATTGAATAAATTGAATAAATTCATCAATTCCTGATGAAGCCGTATGCGCGAGAATTCAATTTATTCATGTCTCTTATACGGTCGTCTCATTTACTTCGTTTTCTATTTATATATGTATGTATTATGAAAATGAGATAGTAAAATGTATAAATTGGTGGTCATCTTGCGAATAATAACCATCAACTATTCTCATCGGGCTCTCATCATTAATTTTCTCTTTTTTTTTTAATTTTTTTTTTATGGTGAATTATTGGGGGGATGATTGTACAGGCCATCCTCCCCCAACCTGAAATATTAGGGGGGATATGTTGTATTGCCCTTTTCAGTGCCAAAACATGGGTCGTCGGTCGGAAATCTCTCTTCTTTTTTTCTCCCTCTTTGGACTAATATTTTAAGTTTTTAATGCTTTAATATTTTTTTTTTCTCTAAAAAACGGTTAAAAAAAAAGCCGACCGTAGATTTCGAAATTTTGGGTCGGTCGCAAAGGGCAATTATACAACACCTTTTTGTTGTAGGCCCAATGATCGTTATTCTGATCGTTCGTGCATGCATCGGAATTAAGGTTCGAAATTCAGAAACGGTTAACATTTTCGCAATGCATGCCCATGGTGAAGTTGAGTTTTTGATTTGGTCTGTTTGAAGAAAGGCGTTAACTCTGTGTAAAATAATATGATAAAATGCCCTTCTAGTAATAATAATATGAATAATAATAATACAGTCAAACCTGTTTATAGCGAGCGCCCAAGGTAACCACGAAAAGTGGTCTTTGTAGACAGACTCTTTTAGTACATGTTTCAATGATGCAGTTTCAAAAGAAACAAAATCTGTGGTCTTTGTGGACAAGTGGTCACTAAAGCAGATTAGATTGTTATAATAATAGTAATAGTAATAATAATAATTATTATATATAATTTTAATAATTATAATAATGATATCAAAACAATAAACAAAAATAATGATAATAGTATTGAAGGGATAGTTTAATTCTTGTTTCAGACCGCAAATGCCTTTAAGTGCATGGGTATTGCACTTATTCTTATTTAAGACATTTTTTAGTGCCCTTTTAGGACCTAAAATTGCTATGAAGGTAATTTTAGACCCCAATATGTGTGAAATTTAGCCAATACGATCATACCAATGCAGCCCTACTTTAATAAAAATACGGTGGCCCTTAATTAATTAATTAATTAATTAAGGGCCGGCTGGTTGTGCGTATTATAACCAACACGAAAAAGCCAACATCGGCATCGGCTGGAGCAAAAGTTCAAGTTCAAGTTCAGTATTTATTAAATTCCATAGTAAAATTAACAGTGACATCAAAATATTACTTTTACATAAATATGATTAACATAGTACAATATTGACAGTAAAAACAAACAAATAGGAATTAGGTTGCTGTATAAAAACCCTAGAGGGTTTGTCTGGACAGCCACCAGAAAAAAACAACTTATAAGGCGTTATTTCATTTTTCAACGGCTGGGTAAAATTATCTAATATTTTTGGTGGTACACAAATAATAGAAATGATTATATTTATGGATATTTCAGCCTTCTCTGAACCGATCTTGATCAAGCAAAGATGATTTTGTCATTTGGATTGTACGTTCTTTCAAATTTGACACTCAGTTTTTCATTATCTCACCAAAAAAATGATAGTACAAATAATGATAATAATAACAAAACTCGTATATTATGTTCAATGTACATATCCGTATTGTGAATGAACAAACATGACAGCGAATTCCCTGAAGTAGTTTTATTAGAAACCGTTCACTTATAAATTCAACTCAGTTCAAGTTGAGGTCATATCTCACATTTGGTAGCAACGATAAAATCCCAACGGTAAAATGCCATCGAACATAGTTTGGGCACAAATCCAAGCAATAAAACACTGTACTATGACTGTCTCTCAAGAAATTAAATCTCTAAAAAGATAACTTTTGAGGTAAATTTCTTCAATGTGTATTACAAAATAAATGCGAGATATAATATATGTGTCTTCCAGTACACTAAAATACCTTGCACAAAACACTTTTAATGTGCTTTTTAAGCTGTAATATATAAATTTACTCAAAATAAGATTTAAAAAAAGGTATTGCAATTTAATTTCTATCAACATTTTTTTTTGGATGATACATACAATAAACGGTAATGTTAATATAAGATACACCAATATAAGTTCTTTCTACGACTCTCTTGGAAATAAATACTTTTTTAGAAATGAAAGTCATAGAATAATGGTACTCACCATTTTCATTTCTCAAAATGATATATAGGCAGTATTCATAGTGTCTTAAACATATATTGAAACGTAATGCTGGTTTATTTTGAAAGACAAAACACACTGATATACCTGAATTTGTATGGTAAATACACATAGCATGAAATACAGCAAGAGGTAATTGACTGCATTTTCATTTCTCAAAATGATATATAGGCAGTATTCATCGTGTCTTAAACACATATTGAAATATAATGCTGGTTTACTTTGAAAGACAAAACACACTGATATACCTGAATTTGTATAGTAGCATGAAATGCAACAAGAGGTAGTTGACTGCGTGAAATTGAATAACGCCTCCACCCTCCATGCAATTCTTCCGCACATTTCATCAGAAGCATTATTAATTGTCCTTGGGGGGTAATTGTCCTGGGGAGTAGTTGTCCTTGGGGTTATTGTCTTCAGGGGGGGGGGGGGAGTTGTCCTCGGTGGTTATTGTCCTTGGGGGTTGTTTTTCGGAGGGAACTTTCCAGGGGTAGTTTTCCGGGGGTGATTGTGCAGGGGGTAATTGTCCTGGGGGGAGAGTAGTTGTCCTCGGGGGTTATTGTCCTTGGGGGGCATTTTCCGGGGGTTATTTTCCAGGGGGGGGGGGGGACTTTCCAGGGGTAACTTTCCGGGGGTAATTTTCTGGGTGGCGATTGTCGAGGGGGTAATTGTCGTAGATGTAAGTGCTGTGGAATTATCCTAATTCATGCTTCGTCCTAGTTTCGTTTGAATTGCTTAAATGGAATTCCAGTTACATACTGCAGAAACAACATCTTTTTTAGTATTTTTTAACAATTTCAAAGCACAGTGACTATTGACCCCTTATTTTATTGGCATAAAAATACTCTCCTGTTAGAAGAAATCAATTTGTTATAAAGTACTGTAATTGGTGAGGAAAATAGGCTCACAAATATTCTCCCATGATACTATATCAAATAATGCCACTTATGAAGTACATGTACTGTAATTGGCAAGGACTATTATAGCATTCAGCCTTACCACCTGCTGAGCACTTTTGCTTTCTTCACATCAAAAACATTTGAGAGAACTCTATACCAAAGAGGGCTTTCGTACATATATACACAAATTTGATTCCATGACAATATGAAAAAATATAAATACATGTAGTTTTGCATATTTTCATATAGCTCTAACTCATCCAGTGTGTAATTCTGAATTTGAAAGACCAAAACTTGAAGAATAATGTACAGTTGTATGACATAAAATGATGTTTTCACAAATCAAGGCTTTCGGGGACCCCAGACATTCAAGTACAAATAGTTGTATGATAGATTACACGATACTTAAAGTCCTAGGTAGTGGACTTATATTTTAGCAACTAGTCCAATCACTCTTCTATTGTGTTCACCCTTGTGTATTCATCAATTGAAAAAACTAAAATTAATTCAATAACCGAGAAGATATTAATTAGTCCATTACTATACCGGTACAGGAATATTGTTCCCTATGGTATAGAAAAAAATTTCTTCTGAAATACTGTCATGGGAGAGGATTATAACATTTCCTATTGGAGAGGTTCTATTCATCAAATGAAATAACTCAGAAGAATTCAATAATCAAGAAGGTATCAATTAGTTGATTAATTTAATACTACACATAAGAGTTTGTTCGACCACAGGCCCTCTCAATGCGCTTTACAGATATGTATTATTACCCCGGTCATTAGATTCAGGCTTACCCGCACACAATGTATGCACATTCTCCACTCCCTGGGGAGCATTCCAGCCAGGCATCATTTTTACAAGCGCACACTTGCTAATCTAACCACATTTACTTTTGCATCCTACCGGTACCCATTTAAAACCTGGGTGGGGAGTGGCAAATGTAGATCAATGTATTGCCAAAGAAGATTTGTGCCATTTCAGGACTTGAACAGCGGACCTTGTGATCTACAGTCCGGTGATAATATCCACTTGACCACGACACTTCTACAAAATATACACAAACATTGTTCTCCATGACATTCAGTAATGTCGCTTATAAAGTACTGCCACGTGAGGGGATTATAGCATTCCCTATTGTCTTGTATTCATCAAATGAAATAATTCAAAAGAATTATATAATCAAGAAAATGTAAATAACATACAAATACTATATCTTAAGAAAAAATATACACAGCATTCGTCTGAATAGTGTACTATCATAATCACATACAGTTGAAGTCGATTTGAAAGCCCAAAATGAAACCACACTGTTCATATATTTTTATGGAAGACAACACAATATAAGATCGAGTCCTTCGCGGGGTAGAATTATAGTGATAATCTCTACAACTTTAAAATTGTATACACTCTAGAGTTCATAATATGTAAGACTCAAAAAGGATTCCATAGCAAAAGTTTAAGTACATGTTCCAAAAAATATAATTTGAATACAAATTTACAAAAGATATCATGTATATTAAAGTAGTTATTAGTAGCACCATAATATAACACCACAAAATATGACCCTTTTTTACCTTTAAACAAAATTGGCTCAAACTCTAACGGTTATATCATGGCTTATCAAGTCCAGATTCACAATAAAATACCCTATTTTTTTGTGGAGTTTGACATACATAATTTGAGTTGCAGATCCCTCTTTGATATGACCCTTTTCCGTGAAATTTCTTTCTCTTTTCCAATTGACCAAACCAAAAATTATATATCATATCCCCGAATACCGGTTGCCAACATTTGGGCGAGATCCACACTACACTTACAAAAATTCCATTTACATCACCCAGATTAGCCAACCGTTGGTCGATTTGAAGACAATTTGGATTTGGTTTCACCGAAAAGTACCCTCTGAGTTTAGTTTGCCCTTCTGACAGAAGTGCTGGGGTCTAAGTGGAAGCTATGCGTATGTGACATGCTGATCGTCTTCTGATAGCGTAACCCAAGGCTCCCACACGTTTCCATGGAGTTTTGGGTTACTCTGAGGGTCCAAGGGCTGGTTCCTAGGCTCCACGGCTGATCGACGGTACTCCTGGAGTCTAGCCTTCATAGCCTCAACAATATCTGGGAAGGAAAACGATGAGGGTTAAAATGATAGACATCACCACTTATGCCAGACGATCTCTGAAGGTTAGATCTTGCATATAACATTCCTTATTTTTGCAGTTTCACCATATTTTTAGTCCTGAAAAAGGACTGTTGGGCAGTTTAAATATACTCAACATCATCTTCATCATGATCATCCTCACCATCATCAACACTACCATCAACATCACCATCATCATCGACATCACCATCATCATGATCATCAACATGATCATCAACATGATCACCATCAACATCAACATGATCCTCACCACCATCATCATCTTCATCATCACCATCATCATCACTACCATCAACATCACCATCATCAACATCACCATCAACATCATCACCATCATCACCATCAACATCATCACCATCATCATCAACATTAAAATCGACATCATCATCAATAACATCATCAACATCATCACAATCAACATCAACATCATCCTCACCATCAATATCACCATCATCAACATCATCAACATCATCACCACCATCACCATCATCATCATCCTTACTATCATCATCAACATTAACATTAAAATCGACATCATCATCAATAACATCATCAACATCATCACAATCAACATCAACATCATCCTCACCATCAATATCATCATCAACATCATCATCACCATCATCATCATCATCCTCACTATCATCATCATCATTAACAATAACATTGAGAGCATCATCTTGAAAATAATCATCACCATCAACACTATTACCCATCATGTATATTCACCTTGGTTCCAGTCGGCTATATTATTATATTCACAGGGATCGTCACGGATGTTGTACAGACAAGGCTTGCGGTCACCGTAGTCACAATTGGTGGAAGCATTGGCTTGCTTGGAGGGACATCGTACCCTAAACGAGTTAGGAACGTACTCTGCCTTGTTGGAAGTTGCTCCTAAAACAAATAAATGAAAGAGGTAACTTATATAAAGGTTATATTTGTCTGTCTAATACCAATTTTGTTTACCATCCATGAAGTCTAATAACCATTTGATGGTTATTATTATTCATGATTAAATTATTATGAGACCATATGGACAGTAGACAAAATGAGCATAACACAAACTGGAAATTAGACCGACTGGCAAATTAGACGAAATGAGTGATAGACTTATTGGAGATTAGCCTAAATGTCATTAGACCAAATGATAAGTAGACAAAATGATTATGGGATCATGTGGATAGTAGACGAACTGGTTGTAGACCAAACGGCAATTCACAGCGCAAAGATAACAAACCAAATTCACAAAGGAGGTTTAACTTAACCTATGGTTTAAATCCTCATGTACATAACCCATGGATTGAAAAGTAGCGCAAAATAAGCGTACCTTGTCTTGGGCGTGTCTAATATTGGACCTCTGACTGTGTCGCGCTTATTTTGCGCCACTAGACCATTGGTTATGTCAATGAATATTTAAACCATGGGTTAAATCTAAACCTCCTTTGTGAATTTGGGCCATTGGGTTTGATCCATGGTAGAGCACTGATGTCCTTTGGCATGGCATTTATTTGCATTTTACACCACTCCATAACAAGGAGAGAAATGGGGACAAGGTAGGAAGCCGAAAGCCTTCAATAGTAGCTTTAATATGCCCTCCCGGTGACCATATGGTAGAAAAACTCCCCAGGGAGTGGAAATGGCGCACACTGTGAGCGTGAATGAATCAGATAACTGGGGCAATATCTGTAAAGCGCTTAGAGACAGTATTTGGTATTTAGCACTTAATAAAACCAGATGTATTGTTAAAACCTTACAAAGTGATCAGATATATGAAAATTCCAGATGTGGTCGGTAACGTATGGGATAAGATTTTGTGTAGGGTTGACATTTTTTTCTTTCAATTCAGAAATGGAAGAAATTAAAATTCATCAAATAAATGAATTTAAATGAGAGATAATCCTTCAAGGTAGCATAATGATGCTTATAATCTCCAGTCATCATCATTATTAATATTATTATCATGAAGATTCTTGGTTTGAGAGTTGCCTATAAAAAATAATATGTACTCTCTGGTACCGTAATGAAGTTTATAGTCTCGTATTATCATCAATGTTACTATCAATATCATTAAGATTCTTGGTTCAAAGGGTACCTAGAAAAAATAGTATGTATATTTACATCAACATGCAAGCCGATACTTACAAGCAGCATTATTATCATTATCATTAAGTTTCTTGGGGCAAAAGGAACCTAGACAAAACAATATGTACCCTCTGGAACTGTTATGAAGTTTGTAGTTTCGTATTATCATCATTATTAGGAGGATTCTTGGTTTAAAGGGTACCTAGAAACAATATGTACCCTCTGGAACCATAATGGAGTTTGTAGTCTCATATTATCATCAATATTATTATCATTAAGATTCTTGGTTCAAAGGGTACCTAGAAAAAATAATATGTACCCTCTGGAACCATAATGGAGTTTGCGGTATTGTATTATCATCAATATTATCATCATCATGATCATTAGTACTCTTGGTTCAAAGGATACCTAGAAAAAACAATATTTACCTTGTGGAACCGTCATGAATTTTGTAGTTTTGTATTATCATTAATATTATTATCATTAAAGGTATTACAAAGTTTTGGTATGGGGTCATGAATTTGGTTCAAATTAACATATTGGAAGCATATGCGTTCCTACAATATACATTGATCATTGTCCCGGTTGAAATCAAGTCTTAAGTTATGAAATTAAAAATAATAACCTCTTTATGTTGTATAGCTCCCTCTCAAGGTCAAGATATTAATTTAGCTATGAAACAATGTTTCTTGACTAAAATCGACCGATTAGCTATTTCCGTTTGGAAATAATATATCCCAACTACATATTCTGAGATTTTCATGGTCGCAGCTACCATTGTACGGTCATTTATCAAAATTTACCGGGAGCACCGGTAAAATTTTATTATCAATTTTTCTCAAAAACAGAAGTGTTTTAGGGGCTAATTTTTTTTAGTGCTTATAATACATCTACAGAGGCATCCAAATATATCAAAATTGTAAAGATTCAATATCCACCCAATTTTCAAAATTTCCCAAAACTTTGTATTACCTTTAAGATTCTTGGTTCAAAGGGTACCTAGAAAAAAAAAATGTACCATCTGGAATCGTAAAAAAGTTTGTAGTCTTGTATTATTATCAATATTATTATCATTATCATGGAGATAATGGTATGTAGAGCACCCAGAAAATAATCAAACGTACCTTCTGGCGGGTACCAGCCGGAGAAATATTTACTCCCGATTTTACCCCCGAAGGCACCGTAATGAAGTTTGAAGTCTCCTACTCTGATGGCTGCGTACTTCTCGATAGGCTCGATGTTGTGAAGGATTTCATTTCTAGGTGAAGGCACATTACTGTAAGAAAAGCAGATATTAAAGACACACTGCTTTGAGCTTAGTTCAAGCAACAATTGCTTCTGGTTTCATACATTTGGAGGAAGAAGAGAAATAAATGAAGCAGTGTCTAAAGAATGGATAGCTCTGAGTGTGTAGACAGGCTTGATGGAGACTGGCTTTAGAAAACAAAGAATGTTCAGTTTATCGCTTAAAAAGCAGACCCCACAAACCTGGAAGGGAAGACTTGAGGGAATAAGGCGCCCCTTTCATAAAACTTGTTATCTATAACAACTGTTAAATTTCTATGACAAATTTGCTCTCAGCCAATCAGATGCCTTGATTTCAGTAGCTTATAACAGTAGCTTGTAACTTGTTATTGATATCAAGTTTGCTCTCAGCCAATCAGATGCCATGATTTCAGTAGCTTATAACAGTAGCTTGTAACTTTTTATTGATATCAAATTTGCTCTCAGCCAATCACATGCCATGATTTCAGTAGCTTATAACAGTAGCTTGTAACTTTTTATTGATATCAAATTTGCTCTCAGCCAATCACATGCCATGATTTCAGTAGCTTATAACAGTAGCTTGTAACTTGTTATTGATATCAAGTTTGCTCTCAGCCAATCAGATGCTATGATTTCAGTAGCTTATAACAGTAGCTTGTAACATGTTATTGATATCAAGTTTTATGAAACAGGGCCCTGGGCCGGTATTCAATTCAATACTTAGCATAAGTAAAAAATTTACTTAGTAAATGGCTAAGCTAAGACATTTACTTATCTCATATTCTAATTGCATCTTAGACTTGTACTTATGTAAGACAAAATCTAAGTCAAATACTAACTGATAAGCATCGTGACATCACACGGTCAATCAAAAGTAATACGCAATAAATGCGCGCTGATATAATTGTGCACATGTTATAATACTGTGTACGAAAACCATATGCCTGCCTGCCAGCGCCAATCAAGGCCTCCAAATAATTGGCTTGTTACTTGTTACTTGTTACTTGTTACTTGTTACTTGTTACTTGTTACTTGTAGAGATAATCCCGATGGCAGCTATCATACAGCTAAACTGGGATGTCCGTGCAACGTGCTGGCATAGTGACAGTGCATGAAGTAATTCAAAACAGTGAATGATGTCTATTATTTACAATAAAACGGTGGACGTGCAAGTAAAAGCCAAGACGTGGAGTCTACAGTAGCTTGGACCCAACAGGAGGAGGCAACGCTCTGATGATGGGTAGAGCAGCCTCCTGGAAGATGGTCACTGTTGGAGATATTACCGCAGCAGCTGATAGGTGGTTCCACGTCCAGATGGTGCGAGGATAGAAGGAGTACTTGAAGCTATCAATGGAAGCTGGGGGTACTGCATACTTCAGAGGGTGATCATTTCTGCCCAGATATGTAGCTGGGATAATGTGAGTGGGAAAAGGCATGTTGAGTTGATGATGGTGCATCTTGTAAAACAAAGTGGACTGTGCAAGAAGCCTGCGATTGTGAAGGGTATCCCATCCCAGTTTGTTGACAAGTGCTGTGACTGATGTTACTCTCCGGTAGTCTTGGTATACAAAACGGGCGGCAGCTCGCTGTACTTTCTCAAGACTTTGTATTGATGTCAGAGTCCGAGGGTTCCAAGCTTCACTGCCATACTCAAGTTGGGGACGAACAAGCATTGTGTAGGCTTTGGATTTGATGTTCTTGGTGCACGGTGATAGAGTTCTGCGTAGGAGGCCAAGGGTTCTATTGGCTTTCTGGGTGGTGAGTTTACATTGGGTGTTCCATTTAAGGTCATGGGTAATCGTGACACCAAGATACTTGTATTGTTTTACTCGAGGAATTGACTCATTTAGTAGGGTGTAGTCCACTGTGATGGGGTGCTTCTTGTTTGTGATTGACAATGAAGCACACTTCTTGATGTTGAATCCCATCAGCCATTTAGTAGACCAGTCTGCAAGAACATGGAGATCTTCTTGCAGTATATGAGTGTCTGAGGGAGAGTCGATACGCCGGTAGATGACACTGTCATCTGCAAATAGACGCATTGTGGACTTGATGTTGAGTTTGATGTCATTGATGTACAGCAGGAAAAGTACGGGGCCGATGACAGAACCCTGCGGTACTCCTGAAGTAACAGGCATCCATGCTGAGCGAGCACCATTGACGACGACAGCTTGATGTCTATTCGCTAGGAGTGACATAGTCCAGCGGAGAGAGTCTCCCCTGATTCCGTAGTAATGTAGTTTGGATCTAAGGTGTGGATGTGGTACGCGATCAAACGCTTTTTGGAAGTCGAGAAAGACGATATCAGTTTGGCCTCTAGATTGAAGAGAGGATGACCAATCATCGGTAGCTGTGACAAGTTGTGTTGTTGTCGAAAGATTCTGTCTGAAACCATGCTGTTCATCAATGAGTATGTTGTTAGCTGCAAGATGTTTAGAAATGTGGCTAAGCATAATATGTTCCATCACCTTACTGCAGATACACGTCAGCGATATAGGTCTGTAGTTACCTGGGCAACATTTATCTCCTGCCTTATGAATAGGGGCTACAAGTGCACGTTTCCAGTCCAAAGGCACTTCTCCGGTATTGTAACTCTGTTGAAACAGAAATGACAATGCAGGGGCTATCTCGTGTGCTAGCATCTTCAGAAGTCTTGGATGTATCTTATCTGGGCCACTGGCTTTGGATGGATTCAGTTGAAGCAGTTGCTTAACTACACCAGACCGGTGGATGTGGAGATGCCCTATGTCATTGTATAGGGAGGGCCGGTTTATGCAAACTTGATCCACGTTGCTCTTGGTGAAGGTAGAATGAAAGTAATTATTCAAACATTCAGCCTTGTCCTTGTTTGTGATATGGAGCTTGTTATCATTTCTCAAGGGTGGTATACCAAAGTTTTCAGATCGACGCTGTTTTACATATGACCAGAAAGCCTTGGGGTTCGCATATAGGCTCTCACCTATTATGTTGCAGACGTAATTGTGATGAGCTTGGCGGACACGTTTGGTCAGTACGTTTCGAAGCTGCCTGTAGGCCTTCCAATTGGATGCACTAGGCTGACTTCGTGCCCTCTTGAACAAACGATCCCGCTTCCTCATTTGCCTTTTGAGGGAAATGGTGATCCAAGGCAAGTTGCGTCTGGTTCTTGACATCTTGGATGGGATGAATTCATCCTTGCACTTGTTGATGAGTGATGTGATACAGGTCCAGTTTTCATCAACTGACTTCAGCTCTGGTGAAGATGATAGAAAATCCATTGAGAATTTCGCAACAGCCTTGCGGAGTTTCTGAAGATCAGCTTTGTGGAATTGGTAGATTTTTCTTGGCGGAATGCGGCAAGTTCTTGGATTCCCCGAGATCGAAAAAGCAACGATGTTATGGTCCGATATTCCTGGATGGACAAGGACATCGGACACCAGTGTTGGATTTGACGCAAGAAGAAGATCAAGTGTATTCTCAGATGCAGGGCGGGTAACTTCATTAACAAACTGGAGAAGAGAGTTCTCTAGCAGGATATCAAGTCTCAAGGCTTAAGTCTGGTAGGGAGCTGTCTTAAATTTAGGGTAAAATACTTAGCCAAGGTTTGAATTGAATACCCAATATTTTATCTAAGCCAAATACTAAGTAAAAAGCTCGAATTTTGTACTAAAGTATTGAATTGAATACGGCCCTGGTCCGTACCCAGGCAGATGCTGAAGACAGGAAGGCTTGGATAGGAGCCATAAGGAAAAATAAGCGTCAACCCATCAGCGTGGGAACAACAGCCACTTTACTCTTATCCTGCCATGATGAATACAGCCCAGTGCCACAGGGCCAATTCCCATTGTACCAAGCCAAAAATCCCCCCCCCCCCTGCAGTGCCAAGTATATTTTGAGATAATCTGAGAATCTGATGGTGCGATCAATAGCGCGTGGGAAACACTCAGCACATTACAATGAGCATGAACAATAACTGCTATTACGAATGCGAGCATGCATGCATGAAGCAGTTAAGCTGTGGCTCACTCGCATGAATTGTGCCTCCAATCGATAGCGCGCTCGCGTGTACAAAGCACTATAACGGTAACATGCATGCGGCCTTATGGCAGGATATGAGTTAGAGATGAAGGCAATACACAACAGAACAAGAAATACCAGTTCCGCGTCAGGCATTTTTTCAATTCGTTATAATCCACACTTATCAAGTCTTTGCAACCTACAAACTAGTAAATCAATGTAGTATTGTATTTTCATATAACCGGTATATCAGGGAATAATTTTCCTGGTATCGCATCGCAATTTGCTATGCATTTTTGCATGACTGCTATACAAAATATCTTTTGTGTAGCAGTTTTCTTCCATAGAAATGTACAGAATTTCATTTAAAATATTTATCCATCGGTTGACATTGCTAATCAAAAAATTTGAGAAAAATTATTCCCTGTATATGCATTCTACATGTATTTGGTTACGGTTTAACACTGTTATGGGAAAAGACCACAGTAGAATATGACAAATTCCTGTCAGCAAAATGACACGCCATGTGCTCACCATAACATGTTTTGCTCTTAAATATAAGCTAAAATTATCCCTTCTAGAAAGATATAATGCAGTTCAAATATAGCCGTCAGTAAACGGTAAAAATACTTGTAAAGTAGACAAGTTGACGCACGTATAGGCACTCATATGATTAGAGGCCAAATAGAACTCAATTTGAACTTGGGCTCCATATGCACTGTTTTATGCTACCCCTTATTTTCTTCATACTCCCTAACCTTTAACCTATATAACACCTGTTATTGGGTAACACCCAAGTGGAGGCGAACTCCCAATGGGAGCTCTCTCCTGTGCGTCTTTAATGCATTAAAGTCTAACTCACTTGGACAGTGCATCCCACTGGTCGAATCCATCCGAATTCTTCAATTCCTTGGGGTCACCCCCGGCTACGCTATGCAGCGTGGGTAACCAGTCGCAGACGTGCATCATCTGGTCGCTGAAGCGTCTGGGCTTCTTAATGAGAGGGCTGTTTACAAAGGCAGTGCCCCTCACCCCGCCCTCCCATAGAGTGTGCTTGCATCCCCTCAGGGGCCAGTTACTGGCGTGGGTGCCGTCAAAGAAGTCATAAGTGGCGCCTCCATTGTCGGTTGTGAAGACGATGATGGAGTTGTCATAGAGGCCCGCATCTCGTAGCGTCTGGGAGATGCTGCCTACAGAGTCATCCAAAGCAGACACCATTGCTGATCAGGAAAAACGATAGAAACTGGTAAATGGCACACTCAAGCACATGTATGTCCCATTCATGACATGCTTTCTCTAAGCACATTACAGAATAATTTGTAAGCACAATGGTGAAATGAATCTTGAAACCATTATCAAGGGCCCTATATTACTGGTAGCTTTCTTTTGTAGAGGTCTGGGTTTGTATTCAATTCAACACTCAAGTTTGAAATATGAGTATTTTACTCAGTTTTTGGCTTCGATAAAATACTTAGCCAATTTTGGTATTCAGTTCAAACCTTTGGCTAAGTATTGTACCCTAAATTTAAGACAGCTCCCTACAAGACTTAATCCAAATATTTGGAGGCCTTGATAGGCACGCACATGGTTTTCTAACCCAGTGTCATAACCTGCGCAAAATTATATTAGCGCGCATTTTTTTTGGCACGTTAAGTGCACATTAATTTTTATTTACTGCAGTCTACGGGGGGAAATGAGTATGGTATAACCGGTCACTCAAAGATTTTTACATTTTTTAGTTACTTCCTGATCATTTTGAAGTGCAGTTTGTGTAGCGCTTCAATATTACACCATATCACAGACAATGATACCACTTAGGGCCATGCATCTCATATTTGTATAGCTGGAAACATTATTAAACTATGCCCTTAAAACTTGTTGGTGGTTTTCTGGTGAAGGATCACAAAAATGTTACATAGAATCAGTGAAAATAAAGTGTTACCTGCATACATTCTCCTCCCCTCTGTCTCAATGTGAGGAAACCTCTGATAGTATTTGTCAGGTGCTTGAAGAAGTCGATCAGGATACACTCCTGCATGGACAGCTTGATGTGCAAGGTACAGGAACAGTGGCTGAATAAACAGAAATGACAAAGAAAATAATTTAAATTCAATTCAATTCAATTTCAGTTTAATTACAAATATACCAAATAAAATGTCCAAAGACTAACAATAATTTGCTCACAATGTATCATATAAAAATGCAATAAAAACAGTAGATTTAAAAATTCAGTAATAAGTTAAGTACATTGCTCACCTTGTATCATATAACTAGATGGAACTTCAACTGTGCGCAGTCGAAAATGATGCCTCCGCCATTGAGCAATTTTACAAACCAAAACGGAAGCAACTTTTAAAATTCAAGTTTGATTGTAATCCATCTGTCGTCTTTAATAATGGATTCACAAGCTATTTATAGGCATCCTTAATGAGCCCACTGACCTTTGACCTGATGACCCTAAAATCTCATCAGTTCATTGGCTCTGCAAGATACATATACATGTCTTGAGTTTGATAGTAAACTGTCTTTTGGTTCTCATGATAATGTGATCACAAGCTATTTGTGCATACATAATGAGCCCTGTGATCTTTGAACTGTGACCTCGTGACCCCAAAATCTAATCACTTCGTCCCTGTTTTCACGAAGTGACGGTAGTGAGGAAAATCGTAACGCAAATCGAATGCAATTTTTTTTCACTACCGTCACTTCATGAAAACAGCGACGACTTCATTGGCTCTGCAAGATACATACATGACCTAAGTTTGGCAGGAGTCCATCAATCGGTTCTACAGATAACGCGATAACGAGCTATTTTGCATACATAATGAGCCCTGTGACCTTTGACCTTGTGACTCCAAAATCAAATCAGCTCATTGGCTTTGCAAGATACATGCCTGATTCAATTTTGGCAGGAATTCATCAATCATTTCTAGAGATAACGCGATCACGAGAATGGGACGTACAGACAGACGTACGGACGGACGTACGGTACCACGTACGGACGGACGGACAACCAGAAAACATAAAAATGCATTAAAAACAGTAGATTTAAAAATTCAGTAATAACTTATAGTACAACAAAAAGTGATTGTAAATTATAAAATGGTGATAATCAGTTTGTCAGTGAATTGAGAAGAAAGAAAGAAAGAAAGAGTGAAAAGTGGAAGAGAGGGAGAGGGAAAGGATAAAGAGAAAAAAGAAAAGAGAGTTCAATTTATGACAAAAAAATGTAAGCAAATGAACGAGAATTCTGTTGATTCAGCTTAATGAAACATTGTAAAAGTAAAATGCACATAATATGGAAATGTCAAATGATACATTAATAATGAACAAGAAGCTGTATGGCTTTATCAATGAAGGTTTCAAAGCTGCATCATCAGGAATAGGAAAGAAAAGGATAACAGAAATAAGAAAGAAAAGACAGGACAGAAATACATATACAGTAGGTTTACGGTTGCAGCATGTGAGAGAAAAGGAGAAGGGGGAGGATTGGGGAGTCCTGAAAAGGACTGTCGGTAATCTTTCTGTCTTGAGCACATGTGTAGTCCTGAAAAGGACTGTCGGTAATCTTTCTTTCTTGAGCGCATGTGTAGTCCTGAAAAGGACTGTCGGTAATCTTTCTTTCTTGAGCACATGTGTAGTCCTGAAAAGGACTGTCGGTAATCTTTCTTTCTTGAGCGCATGTGTAGTCCTGAAAAGGACTGTCGGTAATCTTTCTTTCTTGAGCGCATGTGTAGTCCTGAACAGGACTGTCGGTAATCTTTCTTTCTTGAGTGCTTGTGTAGTCCTGAAAAAGACTGACGGTAATCTTTCTTTCTTGAGCGCATGTGTAGTCCTGAAAAAGACTGTTGGTAATCAATCTTTCTTGAGCACATGTGTAGTCCTGAAAAGGACTGTTGGTAATCTTTCTTTCTTGAGCACATGTGTAGTCCTGAAAAGGACTGTCGGTAATCTTTCTTTCTTGAGCGCATGTGTAGTCCTGAAAAAGACTGTTGGTAATCTTTCTTTCTTGAGCACATGTGTAGTCCTGAAAAAGACTGTTGGTAATCTTTCTTTCTTGAGCACATGTGTAGTCCTGAAAAGAACTGTTGGTAATCTTTCTTTCTTGAGCACATGTGTAGTCCTGAAAAGGACTGTTGGTAATCTTTCTTGAGTTGGAGAGGATGGGTAGAAGGAGTGGCTCTATGTTTTGAACAGGTTGACTATCTTTCGTCTGAAATATATGAAGGAAAGAACATCAGTAAAGATATCTGTAGAATAATAACCAACTAGTGATGAATATTTTCAGTTCTCACCTGTGATGCATTGTGGGCCTTGATAATCTGCTCAGCTTCTTGATTAAAGATATCTGTAGAATACTGGCCGAAGGCAGGCCTATAAACCTTTCCGTTCTTGTGTAGGTCATATCCAGAAACCTCGCTTTGCTGCAGACCAGACCAGACATTGTACTCAAGGGTTATCAAGGGGTATATGGAATCACAGTAGATAAAAATAAATTGTTTGGGTTGATGTAATTTTGCTTCTACCCACCTTAAACTTTAGTAGGCAAGCTTTCATATGCAGGTAGGGTTATCAAAATACATGTACGCAAAAATCACATACAACAGAGTTTGGAATAGGTATATATTTGGGTAATTTCCTGTACAGTAAAACAATGTCAGATGTGCAACCACTTCTAATTTGTCTTATTGGCGAAAAAATCACAGATTAGATATTGAATTTTAAAAAATGATAATAATGTTAGCAGTCATATTTGTATAGCGCTTTTACTAAATTTCTAACTTCTAAGGGCTTTACATTGTAATAACTATTACCCTGGTCTATGGATTCAATTATTGATCTGTAATCACAGTGCACACGCTCCTCTCTCTGAGGAGTAATCTAGCCAGGCGCAGCTTACAAGCACAAACATGCCAATCCAACCACATTAATGTTCACATCTTTAATACCAGGTACTTATTTAACACTTGGGTGGAGAGTGGCAAATATAGATAAATGTCTTGCCAAAGTACACTGGTGCAGTGCTGGGCTGGGCTCAAACCCAGTACCATTACAATTCCAATCAAGGGTTTCAAGTGAACTAATAACCACAAAATATTTGTTCTGTATGTTAGTCATTCCATGTGGCAATACTATGTCAAAATACTAATTTCAAATAGTACTCCTGATAAGAGACTTTCCATGACACTCTCAATGAAAATAAAAGTGACTTGTAAGAAGACTACTCGAGACACTGCATAAAACTTGCCTCGCATGAAATAAGGCCCGTTTTACGTTTTCAGTTCTGTGCAGTTTAATAATATTCTTTATTTTCTTCATACTCTTTATCAGATATCCCATTGAATGTGAGAAGTTTTTTTTTAGGTTGATTTTACACGTCCCAGCTGAACATAATTTTTTGTTAAGGTGAATGGTCCACTTAAAAGATAAAGTTGAGTTCTGGTCATGCCATTGCATTGCGAAAGAAACGTGGAATCAATCAGAAAAGGTTAACCATCTAGCATAAGTATTGGTGTGTACTGCAAGGTTCTGGAACCATCAAAATGATAAGAAATTTGGCCCAGTCTTGGTAAAGTTACATGTACACAGAAAGATATGGGACTACACCGACATGTGGCATAAAAATCTGTCCCGATCTTTTATGATCCATATTTAGAATATTAAGGCATTTGAAGAGCCATGCTTTTCAGGGAACATTTTTTATCTGATGTTCTTCCACATTTGCATAATACATGGTAATGCTCACAAAATATTTTTTACCTCTTCCCGGAACTCAACCTTCTCATTTTGAAGTTTGAAGTTTTATTTATTCCACATTTTACATAGAAGAATATAAACTGTTTATATTCTTTTTATAATGTTTTTAAACAGGCGTATATTATTAAAAGAGTAGATTTCACACAAGAAAAAAAAAGAAGAAATATGTAGATATAACAGGCAAGGTAGAACAATGTAAAATGTGGGGAGCCTAAACAAAAAAGCATAGCTTGTATGTGAATAGGCTCCTAGCATCTGGTAAATTATCTTTCGATAGTTCATACATAAATATTCCAATATTATATAAGTGTAAGTCAGATATTTTAAGAATATTACAATTATAGAAACGTATATTTGTATTGGCAAGAAAACCAACATTATTTATTATTCTAACAGCCCGTTTTTGTACAACGTTAACTTTGTCCATAAGGTTTATAGAGCTATTCCCCCATGGGAGTATACAATAATTAAGATAAGGCAAGATCAAGGTAGAATAGAGTAGAAAGATGACATGAGGAGGTACAAAAGGTTTCAACTTATTCATTACACCTGAGTTCCGTGACAACAGCTTACATAAACAATTGATGTGAACTGTCCATGTTAGTTTACTGTCTATATAGACACCTATAAAGAATTTGGTGGATTCAACCTGGTTGATAGTTATGTTATTGATTTTGATATGACCTGGTAAGGATGATACAGAATTACTGAATAGCATGAAATATGTTTTATTTATATGAAGTGTCAATTTATTTGCTTGGATCAATTTAAAGTGTTTCTGGGTTTTTGTTGGAGCAAAAAAAATCGGAGTCATCCGCGAAAAGAATAAATGATGACATTTCAAAAGAGTTTTTGAGATCATTGATGTATAAAATAAAAAGGAGCGGACCTAATAGAAAACCTTGGATGATGCCACAGGTAATTGGTTGAAGAGTCGATTCCGAACCATCTATATATACAAACTGTTTTCTACCACTGAGGTAGCTCCTGAACCACTCCAAGGCCCTCCCTCGAACACCATAGTGGGATAACTTATGGAGTAAAATATTGTGATTAATTGTATCGAAGGATAGAGCAATGTCGATCTGGCGCTGCTCAGTGGCTGCCGGGCTCACGATCAATTGGGCAAAAAGAATTTCCATTTTCGGTTTAATAAAATTTGGAGTGGACTAAAATATTATTATTATTATTATTATTATTGAAGAAGTCCAGGAAAGTACCTGCAGTATGTAACACATTGTCGATAGCATTTGCAATCTTATTGATAAATAATAGAAGTGCGTGCACGGTTGAGTGCTTCTTGCGAAAACCAAATTGGGAGCCGGAGAGAACATGATTACAATTCAAAAAAGCAATAAGGTTAGAATAAACAATTTTTTTAAAGGGAAAGTCCACCCCCAAAATAAGTTTGTTTCGATAGAGGCAGAATAATAAGAAAATCAGGTGAGTGAAAGTTTGAGCAAATTCTGAATGAAAATAAGTTGTGAATTATTGAAGTTGTGATCAATCAAATACAAATTGGCAACTCTGTGACTTATCATACGAGCTCTTCTTCATTTGCTTTGTGCATAATATTCCATAAAATCATGTTTTCTTCGTTATTGATGACGGAATATATATTTGTTCCTTGCAGGGGGAGTATAGGAACATATTTGCAATTATTATATTTAGGGTGCATGTATGGTTGAAATTTTACTTGAGGGAAAATGAAAATTTTAGATTTTTTTAGTACTGAGCAAATGGAAGTTGAGCTCGCATGATACGTCATAGAGTTGCCAATTTGTGTTTGATTGATCACAACTTCAAAAATCCTAACTTCCTTTAATATTTTTAATCGGAATTTGCTCAAACTTTCACTGACTTGTTTCTCTCATTTTTCTACTCCTATTAAAACTAACTTAATTTCAGGGTGGACTTCCCCTTTAAGGATCTTTGAGAATATGGTTAGAAGTGAAATGGGGCAGTAATTTCCTACGTCTTGTTGATCACCTTTTTTAAAATAGGTATAACCTTTGCGATCTTCATTTTATTGGGAACAGTGCCGATTGTTAGTGATAGATTGAAAATATGTGTTAGAGGAGAAACTATGACATGGATGATATTTTTTTAGTGAAACATTAGTGATCATCATACCGTTAAAGCACCCGACACCCTCTTTGACACCATATTGCTTGATTTATATTACCACTTCTTCATGAGTGTAGTAATCGCCTCTTCCATTATAGAAGCCAAAGAAAGAATCGAAGCCTCTCCACGTTGGGGTGTACTCTTTGGCAAAATATCCCAAATGCCACTGTAACCAAAGAAAAGAAAAGACCAACACAGAAAATAAAAACCTGAAGTGTGAAAAGGGTTGTATTACCAGCAGTAAGCTGAGCTTTGAAAAGCTTACACTGTCAATATTCATGAACTCTCCAACAGAAGTGAGTTGATCTACATAACAACGCTTGGTCCGATTTCAAAAAAAAAATTCAAAAGATGCGCAAGACTCAAAAGGGAAAAGTCATAAAACTTTAGCGCAAATTTAATTTGTGTTAAAAAATTATCACAAAAAAATGTAGAGGGGGGCTTCTAAAGCCCCCCCCCCCTCCCAAGGCAATATAGGGTTAACATATTAACTAATCATTTCATCATCTAGGAATGAACCCACTTCCAATGTACATTGGGCCATCTTAAAACTAGATGGAATTCGACTGCGCGCAGTCGAAAATGATGCCTCCGTCATAGAGCAATTTTACAAACCGAAACGGAAGAAATTTTTCAAATTCAAGTTCAATTGTAATCCATTAACATGTTCTCAGAATATCGTGATTACAAGCAATTTCTCATATACATATATGACCCTTTGATCTTTGACCTCATGACCCTAAAATCTACTCAGTTCATTGGCTCTGCAAGATTTCCTGAGTTAAATAGTAATCCATCTGTCAGTTCTAATGAGAATGCGTCCACAAGCTATTTTTGCATACATAATGAGCCCATGACCTTTGATCTTATGAACCATTCATTGGCTCTGCAAGATACATAAATGATCTAAGTTTGGCAGGAATCCATCAATCTGTTCTAATGATAATACGATCACAAGCTATTTTTGCATACATGAGCCGCATGACCTTGACCTTTACCTCATGACCCCAAAATCTAATCAGTTCATCAGCTCTGCAAGTAACATACATGACCTAAGTTTGGCAGGAATCCATCAATCGGTTCTTGAGATAAGGCGATCACGAGCTGTTTTTGCATACACAATGTGCGCTGTGACCTTTGACCTCGTGACCCCAAAATCTAATCAGTTCATTGGCTTTGCAAGATACATACATGACCAAAGTTTGGCAGGAATCCATCAATCGGTTCTTCAGATAACGCGATCACAAGCTGTTTTTGCATACATAATGAGCCCTGTGACCTTTGACCTTTGACCTCGTGACCCCAAAATCTAATCAGTTCATCAGCTCTGCAAGATACATACATGACCAAAGTTTGGCAGGAATCCATCAATCGGTTGTTCAGATAACGCGATCACAAGCTGTTTTTGCATACATAATGAGTCCTGTGACCTTTGACCTTTGACCTATGTGCTCCAAAATCTAATCAGATCGTCTTCCTATGGTGATACATACTATCCTTAAGTTTGAAGTTTTTACATCTCCAGTGGTTCTTGAGATATCATGATAACAATCTCAATGTATGGAATTTCATAAGTTGACCTCCATGACCCTTGACCTTTGACCTACGTGCTCCAAAATGTAATCAGATTGTTTTCCTATAGTGATACACACTATCACTAAGTTTGAAGTTTAAATCTCCAGTGGTTCTTGAGATATCATGATAACAATCTCAATGTATGGAATTTCATAAGTTGACCTCTGTGACCCTCGACCTTTGACATACGTGCTCCAAAATCTAATCAGATCGTCTTCCTATGGTGATACATACTATCCTTAAGTTTGAAGTTTAAATCTCAAATGGTTCTTGAGATATCGCGCTAACAAACTCAATACAAGGAATTTCATAAGTTGACCTCTGTGACCTGTGACCTTTGACCTACGTACTCCAAAATCTAATCAGATCGTCTTCCTATGGTGATAAATACTATTCCCGAGTCTTAATTTTAAATCTTAAATGGTTCTTGAGATATTGTGATAACGGTCAAACGGGACGGACGTACAACCCGAAAACATGATGCCTTCGGTGGCGGAGGCATAAAAATGAGTAATGTTAGAGGGAACCAAGGCATAAGTTGATTAATTTTAATTAATCACTTCCTTATTGAATGATGAATTTACATCACACCTTTCTTTAAAAATGAGAAACATAATTATTGTGAACTGGGGTGTTAGTTGATTAAGATAATGAATTACTTTTTATTTAAAGAAAATCGGACGTACGTCAAAAGATACAATTGAAACATAATATGTCGACAATAAAAGTTCTTTCTTGACATGTCATCTTCCCTCTTAACCCTTACTGTACTGGGGGGGGCCTGGGAGGCCCCCCCCTCGACATTTTCTGAGTTTGCGCCGCAACCGCTTGGAATTTTGAATTGTCGTTTCATGACTTTTTTCCCTCAAGTCTCACGCACATTTTGATACCATTTCCGTCGAAATCGGATATACCTGTAAGGCGTTACATAACAATTAGTATGCGCATGTCATCAAAAAAAAAAAAAAAAAAAAAAAAAATTGCATCAAAATTTGCATAAATTATCATTATTAATTACATTAAATTAACTTGTTTGAGTTAAAAAAGAAGTTTCATATGAATAATGAGTTTCAACATTCAAAAAGTGGAGTTTGAAACGTTTTCTGTAAAATGCATAAAATTAGCATTTTTGCATAATAAATTAGGCTAACGACAAAAATTTGCATATTCGGAAAAAACTAATTATACCATCTTGTTCCTTACGTAAATATCTACAAACGTGCAAATTTTCGTGTTCATCGGACAATCGACGGCCGAGATCATAGGGGGGGGCCTCCCAGGCCCCCCCCAGTCAGTGGGTGCTCAAAATAGCCCAGTACAGTAAGGGTTAAATGGCAACATCGTCAACAAAAGGCTTGTCATTTACAGCAATACTTAATTCAACAAATTCCTGGAAAGTTATACAAAAAAAGGACCTCTCTGATTTGATATATGGAAAAAAAGGGGAAAAAAATCAATATTTCGAGAAAAGAAAATCTAAAATAATGTTTTTCACTTGGAAATCTTTGATGTAAATGAATCCCAATTCTGTTAAAATTATTATTAAAATGTAGATCATTTAATTCTGTATTCACAAAAATACTATTTTTCTTTAAAAGGGTGTCTTTTTTGGACGCCCCCTCCGATTTAGGGGTGTTTGCTGAAATATTGTGTATTGTGATAAAATCTTTTGAATGAACAAGGTGTATTAACCCCTCTTTTTCTTACTTTGGCCCTCCGCTTATTAAAAAAATAAGAGATTGTGGAACATATAAAAGGTTTGTGGATGTGAAATGTTACCTTTCCAACTGCATGAGTACTGTATCCTAATGTTTTAAGATACTGTGCCATAGTCTTCTCCTCCAGACCCAATCCATATGGCGCTTCTGGAGATATTACACCAAACTGCAGGCCTGTAAAAATGAAAACAATAGAGGGCGTTTTCAATGAAATTCCCTAAGCACTCTCAAAATTATGATATTCAATATACTACACAAGATGTTATGTATTCTCTGTTACTTATGAAATGTAACCGTTGAAAATAATATAAAGAGAAGCAAAATAAATCTTTGAATTTTGAATCTTTCACCAAGGCCTATCGTACAATATACGACTTGACATTTTCGAAGACATCGGCTTCAAATCATAGACAATTGCATAAAAGATCTGCTGTCGATTCGGATCAGATTTGACTTTCCCTCCCACATGGAGGCCTCCCAAGCCAAATCTAGATTTTCTTTGATTTTACAGAACCTTAAAGGTGAATGAAAGTCAAAAAATGATAATTTTGCATTTGAAAATGAATGGTCAGCAGCTATGTGCATTTGAACCAATGTATACGGTTCAGGAAATGAGAATCGCTTGAAACTTGGACCCTGTATGCAAGCCTTGCCAATCGCACGCATATCCTCCCATTGTCAACTTTGGCAAATTGGTCACGTAAAGACCGTGGTATCGGCGGAGTACAGCGCAAATATGTAATGGCTGCTCCCTTCTGAACTTATAAATAGCAGACGATAACTGTCTTCTTATTTTGGAAACTTTAGTGAATATACATATCCTACAAACCTGATTGTTGTATATGAAAAGGCGAGTAAATGTCCTCTACATAATGACGTAGGTTACAATGAAGGGTTTCATTCTAATTTTCATTTCATTTCATTTCTAAGTATTAAACCAGAGAGGATTGTGCTCTCAAAGCCTGTCTGTACTAGTTTACAGGAGGGATTAGTCCACCTGCCAGGTCACTGGACAGGTGGTTATCTCATCAACTCAGCTCTCACTAAACATAAGAAAATGGGTAACCAATGGTCACCGATTTGGCATTGTTTTCTATATAGAGGGAGCAAGTAGGTACAAGTAGTGCAGTGTTGCTTAAAGTTTTTACATGCATTTCAATATATATATGAATTGCTACGGCAAATTCTTCCAAAATTGGATTAAAGTTGGATCGTTTTGAGTGCGCTGGGCTCAAACCTATGCATACCTGTATGAATAGGATGTCTTCCAGTCATGATGGCGCTTCTCGATGGCGTGCAGAGGGGCGACACATAGTAGTTTGTCAATGTTACGCCATCTTGTGCCAAGGTGTCGATGTTTGGGGTCGGGATCTGACTAGAACCGTGGAGACTGACATCATCCCAACCCTGATAGAAATTAATAGATGAATACCGAAAGATTAGAGAGAGAGAGAAGAAATGGCTCGGACACATAATGCGGCATGATGAGGGATTGATGCTCAGAGTCAAAGAAGGTCTCATTCATGGAAAGAGGAAGAGGGGAAGACCTCGTAAAGGCTTTCTAGACGATGTAATCACAGAATGTGGAGCAACAGGGTATGAAACACTGAAACGGACGGGTCAAGACCGAGGAACTTGGAGAGACACTTGATATAGAATTTTGCTTGGGTCACTGAACCTGTCATAAACTGACGGATCACTATTGATGATGACCAAAAATTAAATGAAATTGGAAATCTACCCAAACGGTCATTGCATAACTCAGAATGGAAGTGGAATGGTAGATGGATGAATTGGTTGGTTGATGGCTGGAAGGTGAATGGATGGATAAATGGATGGGTGGAATAGTGGGTGGACTGTTTGATAGGTTGATGGGTGGATGGATGGACAGATAAGAAGATGAATGAATAGTTGATGGATGAATGATTGGGGGAATGATGGATGGATAGATAGATGAATGGGTGGACTGGTAGCTAGACAGATGCATGGATGGACTGATAGATGGGTGGATGGATGGCCGGATGGATGGACTGATGGATGGATAGATGGATGGCCGGATGGATGGAATGATGGATGGATAGATGGATGGACAGATGACAAGATGGATGAATACTTGATGGATGGATGAATGAATGAATGGGTGGAATGATGGATGGATAGATGGATGGACAGATGACAAGATGGATGAATACTTGATGGATGGATGAATGAATGAATGGGTGGAATGATGGATGGATAGATGGATGGACAGATGACAAGATGGATGAATAGTTGATGGATGGATGAATGAATGAATGGGTGGAATGATGGATGGATAGATGGATGGACAGATGACAAGATGGATGAATACTTGATGGATGGATGAATGAATGAATGGGTGGAATGATGGATGAATAGATAGATGGACAGATGACAAGATGGATGAATAGTTGATGGATGGATGAATGAATCAATGGGTGGAATGATGGATGAATAGATAGATGGATGAATTATTTGGTTGATTCATGGCTGCATGGATGGTAGGTGGGTAGATGGGGCGGGTTGATGGGTGGATACAAGTGATGCATGAATGGAGTCAGTTAAATGATGGATACATATAGTTGCCTTAATTGGATGGTTAAATATGGAGGGAGATAGAAAATGGAGATAAAATGTGGATGAATAGGAAGAATGCGGGATGGATCTACATGTACATGTACATGGATAGATGAATGGATAGAAAGATGAATGGATAGATAGAAGGACGGATGGATATACTTGTACATGTTTTTATTTTTTAATTTGTAAAGCGCATAGAAAAAACTTCAGTTTATTATGCCGTCAATAAATCTATCTTTATTATTATTATATATGGATCGATCAATTGATTGACAAATAGATGGATGGGTAGATGGATGGATATGAGGATGAATGGATAGATCAAAGGACGGATGGATGGATAGATCAAAGGACGGATGGATGGATAGATCAAAGGACGGATGGATGGATAGATCAAAGGACGGATGGATGGATAGATCAAAGGACGGATGGATGGATGGATTGATCGATTGATAAATAAATGAATGGATATATGGACGGGTAGATGGATGGATGGTGAATTTAGGGATAAAGTAATGAAGCCCAGATCAAAACCTCTAGCAACATCCTTGCAGATATCAATTAAAATGTAAAGCACTTAATTTTTAATAGAAAAAAAGTATCAAGCGCTATACAAATATGGCTATTATTAATATAACTTGAGGGTCTACAAAGCAAAGGTTAAACATATTCCATCTTACCAAATCATCAGCTACAATGAAGATAATGTGTGGTGGCTGGCCATGATCTTTAGATTCTTCATCCCCCAAAGCCCCAGCCAGGAGAACCATGAAACAAGTGATGAACTCCATTGCTTTCCTCCATTCCATAGTAATTTTGTCTATTCATAAAGAGAGCAAGTAAAGAAATATCAAATTTATATATTTTTTACTGAGGTATAATTAAGTAATATATTGACTGCCTTCAGGGCAATACAACATATTATATTGCCCAGGCGCGGATCCAGGATTTCTTAGGGGGGGGGGGCCCACTTTTTTTTTTTTGGTCCGAAAAAAAATCGTAACGACTCAGCCAGCCGCTAAATAAGCGGGGGGGGGGGGGAGAGGAAAAAAAAATCACAGAAAAGGGGGGGGGTGCTCCAAAATACACACATAAAAAACCGAAGGGGGGAGGGTCAACCCCCTAACCCCCTCCCCCCCCCCCTTCCGTACGTGCTTACTCGTCTGAAAATAGTTTTTACCCTCCAGCGCAAAGCGCGGAAGCTTTTACGTTTCATTAAATCATTAGAGAAAAAAGACGATTCGTTGTACCGTTCTAGACTCTTAATCCTCATCTGAATTCAGTTTTCCCCTCCTCCCTCCCGCGCGAAGCGCGAAAGCTTGTACGTTTCATTAAATCATTAGAGAAAGAAGACGATTCGTTGTACCGTTATGACTTTTAATCCTTGTCTAAATTTAGTTTCCGCCCTCTCACGCGAAGCGCGGAAGCTTTTACGTTTCATTAAATCATTAAAGAAAGAAGACGATTCGTTGTACCGTTCTCGACTCTTAATCCTTGTCTAAATTCAGTTTTCCCCCCGCTTCGACGTTTCATTAAATTTTTAGAGAATGAAGACGATTCGTTGTTCCGCTCTCGAAAATAATTTAGTTTCCCCCATCGCGCGAAGCTCGGAAGCTTTTACGTTTCATTAAATCATTAGAGAAAGAGGAAGATTCGTCGTACCGTTCTCGACTCTTAATTCTTGTCTAAATCAATCCCCCCCCTTCTGCGCGAAGCGCGGAAGCTTCGACGTTTCATTAAATTATTATAGAAAGAAGACGATTCGTTGTACCGTTCCCGAAAATTATCCTCGTCTGAATTAAGTTCCCCCTGCCCTTCCATCGCGCGTAGCGCGGAAGCTTTGACGTTTCATTAATTCATTAGAGAAAGAAGACCTTGTCTGAATTTCAAATATGTTCTTTGTCTATTCCCTTTTCTTCCTACGTCCTCTTCCTTTACACTCCTTTCTTTTTTGGCCGGCATTTATTGGGGGACCACCCCACCGCCCCCCTGGCTACGCGCCTGCTGTCAGATGAGCATATGTTGATACCTTGTCCGCCCCGGAAGCTCAGGGGTTTAAGGTTTTAATTTACGGTCAGATTAGCATTCAGGGGTCCGCCTTAGCGCCCTAGACGGGGTCCAGGGGCAGAGCCCCGGAAGTTCAGGAGTTTAGGCATTTAATTACGGTCAGATGAGCATTATTTTGATACCCAATTGTTACAATGGCAGGTCACTAATTGGCTTGGGGTTCAGGGGGCGGAGCCCCGGAATCTCAAGGGTTTTAGGCACTCAATTACGGTCAGATGAGTATCGAGGGGCCCGCCTAAGGGCTCTTGGTTGGGTCCAGGGGGCAGATCCCCCAGAAGCTCAGGGGTTTCAGGCGTTTAATTACGGTCAGATGAGCATTTTTTATACCTTATTATTTGTGACACTAGCAGGACACTATTTGGCGTGGGGTCCAGGGGGCAGAGCCCCCAGAAATCAGGGGTTTTAGGCATTAAATGACAGTCATATGAGCATCTAAGGGCCCGCCTTAGGGCCCTAGGTGGAATCCAGGGGGCAGAGCCCTTAGGATTTTAGGCATTCATTTTAATCATGGTCAGATGAGCATATTTTGATACCCCATTATAATGTGACACTGGCACTTAACATTTTTTTCTTTCTCGCTCTCTTTCTTTCTATTTCTCTTTAATATACTTTTTCAAAGAAAGTGTGGGGGAGGGGCTCGAGGATCCCGATCCCCGCCGTTCCGCGGGCCCTGATAAATATGTAGGCACCTCAAGAAGCATTTTCTTGCCTGGCTGTAAATTTAGGAATTTGTCATTTTCCAACAAACGCATGAAGTGAGGAAAATTATCTCATTTCAGCATTATTTGTTAACCACCGTTATGGAATTATAAATAAACCACGTTTGAATTCTATTTCTCCAACCCCCCCCCCCCTCCCCTATCAGTATGCCAGTGGCCCCCCCCCCCCCTCCGATCTACACCTTGTTGGCGGGAAAATTGCAACTGATATCCCCCTTCTTTTCTTTTCTTCTTCCTATTTTGTCCTTCCCTTTATCTCCTCTTTATCTTTTTTCTTTCCCTTTCCTTCCTTCTCTTTTATTTTTTTTATTGGTGGGGGGGGGGGAAGGAGGGAGGCAAGTCCTTCCCCCCCCCCCGATCTCCTTCTTCCCTCTTTTCTTTTCTTCTTCCTCTTCTTTTTTTCCCTTTCTCTTCTCTTTCCCTTCTTTTCCTTCTCTCTCTCTCCTTTTTTTTTTTTGCGGGGGGGGGGGGGGGGGGCCAAGGCACGCTGATATTGCCCGAACCGAAGGCCTCTGATTGATCAAATTCACACTTCCAAGGCATGAATTTTGCAACCTTAGCATACTAAACAATAATCACTATTACCGTACATTAAATATGGTTAAACCATGTGTATTTGCATTTCCGGCTGAACCCTAATCGTAAACTCCAATTAGAAGTCAGCATTATTTTAATGTAAATCACACATTAACTACATGTAATTAACATTAGGAAAACGTTGAAGGTAAGCGAATCGCTGGCACTCCGATATCAATTTTTCACATTTGTTATTAAATTCTTGACCGATTTTTTTTTATAAGAAAGAAGAGTCCACTAGCGAACTCTGAAGCCGGTTGCAATGATCGTTGGGTGCAGAAAGGGGGGATTTTGAGCTTATTCTAGGTTTTATTTACCTGCTTTTTCATGCAGGGTGCTAGTTATACATCTATCACATTATCGCCTACCATGTAAGGCTAGCCATAACTACCATATCATTGTGTAGGGACCATAAGATCTTTTATCCCGGAAAAGCTATTCAAGTCTTCAAGGCCTAGAAGAATCCATTTGGATAAAAAGCATTAATCCTTCACCAAAAAGGGCCTCTTTCTATACATTGTTACTTTTCTTCACTCCAATGATCTTGAGGCAGCAGACAACAAGAAATTGTGTAAATAATACAAGGTCCACAAGTTTGGTTGTTAGAAGCTTATAAACTACGTATAAAGTTCACACTCTCTCTCCAATGTTATATAACAAAACATTGTATTGAGAACAACTTCTACATATGGGGTGCAGTCTAGGGGGCGGAAGTTCTTGCATTTTTTAACATTTAAAAAATTCAAAATAGTCTTCACGAGCTATATATTATTGAACAAGACATGACACACCGTCGGCTGATTTTTTCACAAGTCTTAAACGGATGACACTAGACAAGCGGTTTGAGTTAAGTCGCGTTATGATGATATATAAATGCGTTCATAACTTAGCACCTTCTTACCTTCAGGTAGGCTTAATCAATCCTAATGATGTACATGAGCATCATACAAGGCAAAATAGACAGTGGATGTTTACGTGTGCCTAGATTTCACACTGATTGTTTAAGTGTAGCCCAATCGTTTCTTCCATATTTGAATGGAATAAGCTAGATAAATTTGTTGAGAACGACTTCCTCTGTCAATTCATTTAAGAGATTGTTTATGAAAGAAAGGCCAATAACTTCACTCTTAGACGCTTTGCAGTTGATGGAAGGTTATTTTATTTTGAAGGCAACAAAAACAGCCCCTGTAGAAACACAAGAGTAAAAACAAATGTAAATTAAAAACATCATGATATTCAAATAACCAATTACATAATTATATACTTCATGATCTGTATCAGCAACAAAGAAGGTGTTCAGTAAATAAGTTCATTATAGACCAGCTTCAAACGTATCAACTAAATAATCATCACTATTATTTTCATGACTTCAATGAACAGGTTAATTAAATAATATATCATGTCTAATATAACGGCTGAAGGACAGTTAACTTTTCATTTCACAATATAATTCCTTACATCACTTAAGCAAAACCTAAATTACATTAGAAGTGTAAAAAGTAACAACAGATTCATTCAATACATAATGCAAACAATATCTTTTTAATACAAATTAAAAATCCAATAAGACTCACCGCCCTCACTATATAAAAAAAGGCTTGTCTTCAACGTACGCCCTTGTACAATGCAGTCTTTGTGGTCCTATGAGGGATAAAACGTAATATATTACAATTAGCATACAGCAAAATTCAAAGGTATTGTGGCGTAACCGGGCTCTGCCGGGGTAGCGTTCTGCCTTGCAGTCTCTCAAAACCCGGTCCACGCTCTCGACAATCATTCATCAACTATATCTCTCAGTGGGCTCTCACAAAAGTATATTGTGTAAGAAATAACGTGGACTAGCTCTCATTTTACTCACTCCCGCAATCACTGAATGTCTGACAGGACTAAAGAAACAACACTTGCACAGTATATCTGCAATTCAAGTAACTTTACTCGTTCCTGGTAACGGATCGACCTGTCGCAACGACAGGTCAACACCAAACTGACTGACATCTCACGATGTCCACATATATATTTCACAATTAGCTATAACGCCCTCTATGTCTTACTAAATTACTGGGCTAGTTATGCTACAGTATGAATACATACAATTCAGTAATATAGACCATTAATCTGTGTAAAATCGTAAAACATTGTACCACCAATAAAATTAACAAGTGCGAGTTTAGGATTTCACTTTGTGTACATGCACATACACCACTCAAATACTATAAAAAGGATCGCATTGCAAGAACCCATTACACACTCAAATTCTGTCAATATCCATAGGGACATCAATAATTGTTCAACAAGCATATAAGTAGGGTACATGTACATATATAACAATAAATAAATGTAACATTTATAAGGATAATCGAATGATTAACTCACATGTAACTCAAATGCCCACTATGCACGTGCACCACTTGTGACTTCTCTGCAGTAATGTCTTCTCCAGTAATGTGAAAGCTGTCACCTCCTGCAACTGAACCCAAGCCCAGGTTATTGTCCAGCGTGCACTCAAGCCATTGCAAGAGAGGCCCGAGTGCACACTGAACAATAGCCTGCACCAAACCCAGGTCCAGTCACAGGAGGCAACAATCTCACATTACTACATTTAAACAAAGTTGTAATTTGTGAATGGCTTAGCCGAACATACACTACGTGCATGTTCTGTAATTTTAACAAACATGACTTATTCACATAATTGCGACTTCATCAATATTTTCCTATTGACATTACTGTTTACTAGGTTAATGATATATGTTTATTTTGCAAATGAGTATTATTTTTTTAAACTATTAGATGTATAAACGTTATAAACGATGTAAATATGTTCATGTTTATTCAGAGCCCCATAGAAGACCACTTCTTGCTGGTGAATGGGCTACCCTGTTAAAAGATTAGAAATAAATAATAAATAAATAAAAATTATAATTTTCTCCTTGAAAGTCACATTAACCTTTTCATTTAATTTTAGAAGTTACCTCTCTTTTTCTCTGAAAGACAATTTTATAGAACTTTTTTTTGCATTGTACTTTCGTCAGCAGATTTCTTTAGGTCAAGCCAATTACTCATCAGAAATGTAATCTGTAAGTGTAAATTTAAATCCATTTTCTTTCTTTCTCTCTCGCTCTCTCTCCTTTTCCTCCACCCTCTACATTCTTCGCTTTTATATTATTTTCTCTTTCTTTTCTCATTTTTCCTTCCCTCGTCCTCATTTTTTCAATTTCCATTTTTGGAAGGGGCAGCAGATTTGCCCCCCCCCCTCTTTCGCTCAATCAGCCAGTGATGCGTTGGGATTTAGTTTCCATTAGATCTGATACGCTGCCGACCAGTTACTCAGAGTAGCAATGTTTATATTATTAGTATGTTTTTTTCTTTTTTCCCCTTCTCTCTTTCGTTTTTCTTTAATTTTTTAGACCGCCAGGAAAAAGGGGACCTCAGCTCATTCGGCCCTCACCTGGATCCTCCACTGTTTCTAAAGCTTAACAAATAAAATGATAAAATAGTGAATATTTTTACTTTTCAGGATTTCTTACATTCCTTTTGAATTTTTGATTTTTCTGTAAATGCTTAAAATAAGGCAATTGGAGACTCTGTCCCAGGTGGTCCAGATGAGAAGCACTGCTCTTACCCATACTTGTTTCAGTTAATTTTATCCCCTTTTCTCTTTTTTTTTTTCTTTCTTTCTTTCTCTCTTTTCTTTCTTTTTTTTCTCTTTTTGTTTGTAGCTTGCAAAAGGGGGGGGGGGGGGGACTGGCTGGCTGTGCCCCTGCCTGTTTCCGCACATGGTGTTTCCAGACAGTTGATTTTTTTTTTTTTAAAGCAATTTGAAGAAGCTATAATTACAAGTAATATTTCATAAATATTTTAAGACTTATGTTGAACAAAAATATTATAAACAACAAATATCTATATATTAGTACATCAATCGCTAGTGCTTCTTAATAAATATTTTGTAGTTTTAATAAATCCAAAGGTGAAAGAGAAGTTTTATACTAGCGCGCGCTCTCTGCCGGTGTGAACAGTCTTTAAGTTATCTATCATAGTCAAATTCATGTCTGCTTTGAGTGGCACGCCGCACGCACCCGATAAACCTATTTCCCCAAGACAAAGTCGAGGGGCATACCGGTAGCTCTAGGCTAGCTCATTTCTCGAGATCACCAAGGCCAAGAGCTATAGTTTTAACCGTGACCCTTAAGTGTTCGGACACCACCCCCCCCCCCCAGCTTTTTCTACACAGCCAGGATAGTGATGCTCCTATGTGTGGATCTAGATCTCTCATATTCCATTAGACCGAATTTTACGTCTCTTTCGTTCGTTAGCCTCTTATTGGGGTAGGGTCGGCCGGCTCTCTCTTTAGAGACGGAAACCGTCTATACACATTCCCTTGATAACGCCACGGCCATTTCAGGTCGTAGCGTTTTGCCCCCAAAATCCCCCAAAATGTCATTTTACCTCGTGTATATCCAAATCTAAATTAGGCCTAAGCTATAATACATCGGTTCCACTTACTAACTTGATTGAAATAATCCGTTTAATGGTCCCTTTTAAGGAAATTATGGGTCAAAATCGACATCCATGTTGAAAATCTTGCAAGCCGTGTTAAACTCTCGCTGCAGGAGTCATCTAAATCAATCTCATCCCTTCTAGTCTACGCCGAAGGCAAAATGATTATGAAGGAAAAACTGTGATAACGCCATTACGAACGTGTAGATGGCGCACAGTTTTTCCTTCGTAGAAGGGATGAGATTGATTTAGATGACTCCGGCAGCGAGAGTTTAACACGGCTTGCAAGATTTTCAACATGGATGTCGATTTTGACCCATAATTTCCTTAAAAGGGAGCATTAAACGGATTATTTCAATCAAGTTAGTAAGTGGAACCGATGTATTATAGCTTAGGCCTAATTTAGATTTGGATATAGATCTACACGAGGTAAAATGACATTTTGGGGGATTTTGGGGGCAAAACGCTACGACCTGAAATGGCCGTGGCGTTATCAAGGGAATGTGTATAGACGGTTTCCGTCTCTAAAGAGAGAGCCGGCCGACCCTACACCAATAAGAGGCTAACGAACGAAAGAGACGGAAAATTCGGTCTAATATTCCATATGATCCCCAAGCCGAAAGTCAATGTCCAGTAATAAATGTACTACAATTTATAAGTCTGAATTATGCATTATGACAATCCTGATTATACACGTGACCCAGCAAGCAAGAGACAGAAGTGAAAATGACCCTAGCTAGCCTGGTGCATGGTGCAAGACCCGAAAGCTGCCCACTGGGACATCCCCTCATCCCTGGGCCTGGCTCGGCCAGCGCAGCGCGGCGCGGACGCAGTCCGCGGTCCGCAGTCAGCAAAGCAAAACAACTTGAAATTCAATGAATCCTTCTAATGGAAATATTGCTAAACTTTCGGCTACACTCTAACATCATTCATTTCTAGTCAAACGGAGGAGCTAAGAATTTAATTATGTACGTCACCTCTTAAAATTCCAGCACCATCACGATCAGACGCGACTAACCAAGTCCAAGGCAAGGATGTATTCATGGACGCGTGTTATTGTCACGTGACATGACTCGCAATCCATTGGTCACGTGATTTTGCAATCCATTGGTCACGTGATTTATAAGTTTCGTACGCGCAACACCCCCCCCCCCCCTCAATTCTTTCTGACAAAAAAATATGTCTCTTTTAGTCTTATTCATTATTTGTTCTAGCTCACTTGCTAATGACCAGCAAAAGATCCTCTTTCCTACTTATTATGTTCATTCTGCCAAATATTTCAATATAGTTCGAACGAAAAGAAAATTTTAACCATTATGCAAATTCTTGCTCCTCCTCCAAACACCCGTTTCACCTGCCGATGAGCCAAAATGACAATTTTTCAAACTCACTTTCAAATGGAAACGAAGTAGTATTGTATACTTTTGCTATTCTTAAGTTTTTTTAGCGATAAAGCTTCATGGAAAATGAATTTTATAAAAATTATTTTCTGAGTTAATTATTCCCCCAAAATATGTTTTTCATCAAAATGGTATGCGACATATCATTTGAATTAAGATTTCTTTAAAATGTTGACGTTTGACGTTTAATATAAACCTTTATACCATATAAAAATGGATTACTGTGATAGGAAGCTATCTCAACCAGCTTAATTAAGCAATAAATTCCACCAGAGTTCTTAAGATTTTCGTTCACATTATGTTTACATTGAAATGTCTTAACCCTACGTTAACTGGGGGGGGGGGGGTCAATTTGACCCCCCCCCTGTAGAAATTTAGCGACTACTCCGAAACCGCGGCAGATATAAAATTTTCCTCTCATGACTTTTTACTTTCGAGTGTTACGCATCTTTTAAAACAATTTTTTTGAAAATCGGACCTACGGTTACAAGGTCGCGTGACCTTTTGTCTTTGCATGTCAGCCCGAAAATCGCTCATTTTCGTGATTTGTGTACAAAACATATGTAAAAGTCATTTTTCCTAAAAATAGATAAAAATTGGTTATTCAGTCTTGTTTAAAGTTTAGATGTTTGTTTTGGGGTCAAAATAGTTGAATTGTAGTTATAAATGAAATAAACAACAAAAACAATAAAATACATAAGTTAAAAAAACAATGAAATACATAAGAAATTATATAAACAAGAGATAACATAAGGAATAACCTGGCTCTTCCAATTTTTTGTGTTGTATTATTATTCCAAATGGTCTAATAAATATATGTAGTGAAAAAGAATGCTTAAATATGAATAATTTATGATTTATGGGCCGAAATGTGAATTTTATGACCTTATTTGCATAAATTACCATAAATATGCAAATGAGTGAATTTTTCAAAAATTTGAAATTACCATAGTATTCTATACACTTCACTTGACATGCATGCAAATTTTCGCGGCGATCGGCGGTGAAACGGCCGAGATCTTAGGGGGGGGGGGTCAAATTGACCCCCCCCCCCAGTAAAAACCTGGTCTGAAATGGCCCAGTTAAAATAGGGTTAAATTTCCAATGATGCACCCAATATTGAGCTGAACAAATTTCCTTAATCAAAGTAAAGCACTGATGATCGATTTGGATGGGGTCTACTTGCTGTTTTTAAGAACCGCTTTCATAGAACTCGCTATAGCTTCCAATGCACATAGGCCTATACTCTAAAATGTCATGTATGTGCTTTCTTTGAACTACATTTTGAGCAAAGCAGACTTAATTTAGATGTATGTCTCTTTCGAAAAGCTAAACTGCTTTTTATCTGAACTTCTCAAAATTTGAAGGTTCAACATATAATTGATATTTTTACAGAAAACAAATTAACTTTCTAATACATCTTCTGCTTCATTAACTTGAAAACTCATATTTATAGCACCAAAATTTATATCCTGTCATCATAATAATCTTGTTTTACTACCGGTAAATACATATTATTTTAGGTATTTTGTTTATGATATTAACACTCCTCAGTATTTCAGTGTAGCGGATACATTGCACATTTATTCCCAGTGTATGTAATAAATATTTTCAAAACAAACTTTGATCTCAAAACATCTCACTAAAGATTTACCAACAAAAAATCGTTTTGTAGATATACATTGAATGCAAACATCTAATTTTCATATTATATTCTTGTTGGGCAATATCAACATGAAACATTAGGTAAATTTGGGATGTTTTGAATCTGATCACAACAACTTTCAACATCTATTTGTCAGGAAATCATAGCTCAAAGAATCTTGGGAAATTAATCGTGTCCTCGAAGACAAAACAACAAATCTAAAGCATTGGTCACATCCCACCGTGCGTGTTTTTAGTCCGTACGGTTTTTGGGGAGGCCACGGCCGCCACGTTTTTCTGAAAACGTAGAGAGAGAGTGGCAAAGGCAGGGAGGGAGTACCGGCAACGCGCGTCACACGCACTGGGGTGAATCGGTAGCCCGAACGCAGCGAAAGTTCCTCGTGCACTAAAAGTGCTGCGGTGTGTCTGCGTGCTCCCAAATCTGTACGGAGGCGGTACTCATCACGTACGGATACCCAAATTTTGCCCACGTTTTTGCACGTAGACAGCACGCACTTGCAAGTACGGCGGGATGTGACCACCGCATTAGGTAGTTTTCAAATTCACAGAGAAATAAAATCTACTTATTTCAAATGTAATTTAAAGGGATAGTTAAGTTTTTGTTTCAGACCGCAAATGCCTTCAAATTGCATGGTTTTTGCTCTAATTCGTGTTCATGACATTTCTATGAAGGTGATTTTAAATCCCAAAATGTGTGAAATTTAGCCAGTAGATTCATGCCAATTCAGCTCTATATATTAACAAAAAATCTTCTTGCAAATTTGACACTCAGTTTGTCATTATCTCACAAAAAAATTATTTTGTGTAGCGCCCTCTGCAACAGACTCAACTATCCCTTTAACCCTAATAAGACCAGGGGGCATCATGGCCCCCCCCCCCCCCTTCTCCACGATTTTTCGGATTGTTTGAGAATGCATATGGATGGCGCCCCGCTGCTAGCTGACTTTTTTCTTTCAAGTCTTGCGCAACTTTTAAAAGAATTTTTTTGAAAATCGGACCTACGGTTACAAGGTCACGTGACCTTTTGTCTTTGCATGCCAGCCCAAAAATCCCTCATTTTCGTGATTTGTGTACAAAACATATGGAAAAGTCATTTTTCCTAAAAATAGATCAAACATGGGTTGTTGGGTCTTGTTTAAAGTTGAGGTGGTTATTCTGGGAGTCAAAATTGTAGTTGGAAATGAAATAAAACAACAAAAACAATAAAAATACATAAGTTAAAAAAACAATGAAATGTTATTGTTTTGAGGGACCTGACCTCTACAAGCCACGCTTTAATTAGGTCTCCTCATCTTTTCTTCTGTTTTCTCACTTAAATGCATTATATGAACTTGATCCTTACTAGTGTTCCTTTTATGTACTCTACATGTTATAAATTTGTTCAATTGTATTACATTCATGTTGGAAGAAAGACAAATAAACTTGAACTTGTGTTGGAGCCAATGGGGGAGATGTCCGCAACTACATCACAGTGATATTAGCGATTTGGCCAATTTGAAATTTCCCGAACAACTTGTTAATAAGGTTGGATTTCTCTTTAAAGTGATCCGGTAACTTAGATCCTTTAAAAAAATCCTTGATTTAACTCATGCTGCAATGATAATTATAAACCTTTAGGTCAGTCAAATCAGGAACCCCATGACTTTTACAAGCCGATCCCCTGTCTGATTATCGAGATATTTATGATTGAAAATCGAAATCAAATTTTGCATTTGCCAAACGGTTTTCACAACACTACAGTCTATTGGGGAAAACGAGTATGGTAAAACCGGTCACTCAAAGATTTGTCCTTTTTTGAAGCACTTCTTGATCATTTTGAAGCGTGATTTTGTTAGGGCTTCAATATTACACAATATCACAGACACTAAAAACATGTAGGACCGTGCATCTCAGATTCAACATTGTTAAACAATGCCTTTAAGGGTTCCAATCAGGACTCAGACTCAGATGGGATTGGATGGACCTAGCAAAGTTGTTTGTACTCCTTCTGTAGATAACGGTGCTTCACTTCAAAAGACCCATGTATCTTGCTTTATCGTAGTACTGTTGAACCACTACCACGTTTTTGAGTTGGCTGTTGCTGTATGCTTCGGCAATCTGTAGAGTAACAATGAAATAAAAAGCTGTACCCCAATGGCTATTGCTGCAGAAATCAAACTTTGATGAAAAACTTCACAGCTATTGGTAGAGACATAGATTAAGACTAAATGTAGATGGATTCTCGACTGTGCAGTCAAAATTAATGCCTCCTCCATATCCAGATCTGAAATGGATCATACATTCATGTACATTTTTGCTATTTTCATATGTAAATAACCTCTATGACCTATGACAGTGACCTCATGACCCCAAAATCTAATCAGATCATCGTCCCTCCAATATACATAAGGGGCGCAATAGCTCAGTCGGTAGAGCAGTGGTCTTGTAATCCGGTGACCCGGTTCGAAACCAACGCGATGGGCTAGTGCCCTTTGGTAAGGCATTAATCCTCATTACCAGGTCCCTCGGAGAGGACCTAAAGCCGTCGGCCGTCTGGTTGCTTTCTTAGCAGTCAGGTAAAATAACCACCACCACCACCACAGCCAAGTTTGAAGTTGATCTATCCAATGGTTTGTACATTGTTAGAGAACGATAAAGGGACGGACGAACAACCAGAAAGCATAATGCTTCTGGCACCCACATTCATGATCAGTTGGCGGAAGCATACTTGCTTCAACAATGATCTCTTGAATAATTAGGAAACCAACATCAGTGGCGGATCCAGGGGTGGGCCGAAACGGCCGCGGCCCCCCCTATTGGCGAAGCAAAAAAAATTGAGAAGGAAAAAAGAGAAAGAAAAAAGAAGGAAAATAAAGGGGGAAAAAGGAGAAGATAAAAGAAAAGAGAACAAAAAAGTAAAGAAAAGAGAACAAAAAAGTAAAGAAAAGAGAGAGAGTTCAAAAAAGAGGAAAGAAAAAGAAGAGAGGAGCCGGGGAGAAAGAAAGACAACGAAATGGCACTAAAAAATAGTGACAGTAACGACGAATAAGGGAAAGACAAGGGGAAGGGGGTGCGTGAAGGAGGATGCATTGAGGGGAGGGGGGGGGGGGAAGGGGTGACTGGCCGTATTCTTATTCTTAGGTTATGCGAAACTGGGTCGAAATTATGCTTCTTTTCAAAACAATCTTAGCATGCTTGTTTATGTTAAGCCGGAGTGCATGAAAAGGTTAGTGTAGAAACACTTCTGAAAAGGCCGCGCCCGGCCCCTCCAAAGAACGGCAGAATGGTAATCTATAAATTATGGGGTCATTCTTGATGGCTTTGGAGTCGTTATTAAGGAGGGGGCCGGCCCTACTCAAATGGTAGTGACCGTAACGATGGATAAGGGAATAAGGAGGAAGGGATGCACATGCAGGCGCGTACGCAGGGGGGGGGGGGGGGGGGGGGGGGGGGGGGGGGGGGGGGGAGGGGGAGGGGAGGGGGAGGGGGGGGGGGGAGGGGGGGGGGGTCGAACCTCCCTCAAATTTTTGTCAAGTTGTCAAGTTGGTCCTGATGTGTATAATGCGTAGACCAGGGGTTCTCAAACTTTTTCTTTGACGGTCCAGAAGCGATTTCTATGAAAGCTGTAAGGTCCGAAATGACACTTGTTTACTGAAGATAATGAGGCTTGTTTTTGGTCTATATCTGATCCAAGGAGAATTGTTACAGTTTAAAAAAACAGAACCGCCAGTGCTTCCACTCGTTTAAATAGAGTTTCCTGAAAAAGAACACCCAATATCCTGGAATTTGAAAGAATTTTCTTAAAACTTTCAAAATGCCTCTTACTTGGATTTCTTATTTGGATGAATCGCTATGAGTCTCAACTCAGTAAGCATGACTGAGATTTGTAAAAGTTGTTTGTACAAAGAAGATTCGGGTGAATAGCAGTGCTTATTCAAACAAAATAATATTCGCATCAATTTGAATCACAATCATTATTTGTCGCTTAATCCCTTTTAATGACCTTGTTTTCTTTCTCGTTTGCAAGGGGAGAAGAAGATATGTCACGTTAAAGACATCATAAAGATCAGTGTTGTATGCGTATATATTATATACACAGGCCAGTAACAGCTATGTAGCTTGTAAATTTGTAAGAGGGAAAATGCTGATTGGAATGATAATGATGAAATAGCAAATAATTGAGGAGTATCATACATGTAGGTACCAATTCAATGAATATTTGTATAAAAAAGAGCCCCCGTCAGTACTAAAAGAGCCCCCGTGAGAAGGCTCACGGGGGCTCTTTTTTTTTGGGGGGGGGGGGAAGAGCCCCCGTGGACAAAAAATTAATTTGAGCCCTGGCTATGACGTTTTAATATATATCAATTATTGAGTAGGCTTATTTTGCTTTCTAATGGATCCATACAACATGGCAGAGCTTGAGGGGTCTGGCAGAGCCTTTTCAAGAGAGAAATTGTCTTTAGGAGAAAAAAGAGGTTATTTCTAAAAATGAAATGAAAGGGTTATTGACTTTCAAGAGAGAAAATTGTCTATAAAGCTATGGTCACAAATTAGAGCAGCGACCGACCGATCAGTAGCCTGCTCGGTCGCTGCTGGAATTAGGCATCGCCCAGCGATTAGTTCGGTGCCCGGGCGGCGACCGCCCAGGCACCGAGCGTATTTTGGGCGGCGAGTGAAAAGTGGGCAGGCGCCGCCCAAATTTTAACTCCGCGCTAAAACTTCAGCGGCGACCGAGCGATGCCCTAACAACGAGCGGTGACTGGCCGGTCGCCGCTCGGTGGCTGGGCAGCCGCCGGGCAGAATTGGTTGAAAAATCGCCGCTCGGCCCGCCGAGCAGGCTACTTTTGGGTAATGTGACCATAGCATAAGAGAGGAAGAGAGGTAGATCTCGGATATCATTTAAACCCCCAAATATTTTGGAGGGACTCTGATATCATTGAGCCCCCCCCCCCCCCCATATAATGGTGGGGCTCAGATATCATAAGCCCCCCCCTCAAGTGTTTTTGGTGGGGCTCGGATAAAATCACGGAGCCCCCCGATATTTGTGTGGGGCTCGGATAACATAACGGAGCCCCCCGATATTTTTGAGGGGCCCGGATATCATTGAACCACCCCCCCCCCCCCCCCAAAAAAAAAAAATATATATATATATATTTCAGCCGGGCTCGGTTATCATGAGCCCCCTCCCCAATATTTTGTTCGTGCTGATGAGTTTGGGAAGTGTATGCCGGAGATATTGACTTTGTAGCATTAACTCGGCAGCTAACAAGCCTCCAAGACGTGTGCGACGATGAGAGTAAACCTATCAAATATACATTAAAACAATCTGTGAGATTTTCAACAACAGTCCAATCTATCAGAGATCATTCTCAGAGGTGCACATCCTTCTTCTCATTTACCTTACAATCCCGGTTACAACGGCAACTTGCGAGAGAACATCTCGCTGTCTTGAAACGGATCAAAACTTCTCTGATAAGTACAATGACCCAAAGAAATCTCAACCAAAGCTTAATATTACACGAAATCTCGTAAAGATAAACTGAACTTGAAAACTATTGCCCAAACTTTGTTTCCAGGAATACAAGAAGACAGAACTTCTTTGGCACATTTGTCTGAGGCTGCATGAAAAGAAGAAAAGTCTGAAATTTTTCGCCGCGATGACATAGACGAGGAACAAAGAATTTATTTTCAGGTGCAAATTAAAGACAAAGACAAAGTGCCACATTTCCGTTTTCAAATATGTCCGATAATAGGCATGTGTGACAATAAAAGTTTTGTTTTTCACGTTCCTGGGGTATTATTTTTTCCAAAGGTGTTAAATGTGTGTTTTGTCATACTTAATAAAATAAACTGAATATTTTATAATTCAACGATTTCTTCAAGTAGGCCTACTTTTATTATTTCTTCAACTGCTTAAAAGTAAGGCTACAAATGCTTTGTTATTGTAGAGCTGTAGTGTGAACAGGCTACTTAGTAATTCACATGTATAGATTGGTGCACATCATTATGCTTGATCATCCTCTCCTATCTGTTTGTTTTCATTCCTCTGTTAGTCATCCTTTATTTGCTACCTATGATATTTGAATATTCATTATTTCCTTTTATTATATAAATGACCATGTAAATCCCTATATATGCAAAATAAACCCTGGAGGTTTAAAGTTGTAAAGCCCATGGCAGTTCAACACACACGCAATCATGAAATAAAGGTGTCTTCATCGAAGTGTCTCTGTAAGTTTAGAACCACGCCCTGTGCCTACCCGCTCAGGCCACTCTACATTCAGGGGCGTCGCTAAAGGGGGGGTGTGGGGTTGAAGTCGGTGGTATTTTTTATGTCGGTCGGCCAGCAATTTGTTCCCCTTAGAGCTGTGACTTTTTATCGGACAAAGAAACATTTTTGAAACTTCAGACAATGATTTAGAGTCGGTTCAATGAATCGTCTTCTTTTTCTAATAATTTAATGAAACGTCGAAGCTCCCGCGCTTCGCGCGAGAGGGGGAGAACTGAATTCAGACAATTAGGGTTAAGAGTAGAGAACGGTATACAACAAATTTTCTTCTTTCTATAATAATTTAATGAAACGTCTAAGCCTCCGCGCTTCGTGTGGGATGGGGAAACTGAATTCAGACAAGGATTAAGAGTCGAGAACGGTACAACAAATCGTCTTCTTTTCATAATAATTTAATGGAACGTCTAAGCTACTGCGCTTCGCGCGGGATGCCTTTCGCCCATCCCCTCCCCCACCTAGGGAGCGCTTTGCGCACTCTTTAAGTGATTCGCTTGCTCAATACCGCCCCTCCCTGAAATAAGATCCTAGCTACGCGCCTGCATTAAAATATATAGCTATGATGCTTATTAAGTTGACGAAATAATTTGTATATTGATGTCGTCGACGACAATGACCATTTGCGCATAACAATTTAGCCTTTGGCCCCGGGTTTATAGGGTTAAATTTGTAGATATTGGAACATTTAATTTTGTCGGTAATTAATTGGTGGCTTGTTTTGTTGGGAATCGTTGACCTCTATCCCCCCCCCCCCCCCCCCCCCCCACTGAAAAACGACTAGCGACGCCACTGACGACACATCAGGCCTATACTTGCGTTTTGTGAGAGGCTC